TAAAGTAAAATAATAAATGTGATAATAACAGTAATAATAGAATAAGAAATGTAATAATAATAATAATAATTATAGAGTAAAATAATGGAAAAGTAATAATAAAGTAATGAGTAAACAATAAATGTAATAATAACAGTAAAAATAATAAATTAATAATAATAATAAATAGAGTAAAATAATGGACATGTAATAATAACAGTAATAATAGAATAATAAATGTAATAACAGTAATAATAGAATAATAAATGTAATAATAACAGTAATAATAGAATAATAAATGTAATAATAACAGTACTAAATAGAGTAAAATAATGGAAATGTAATAATAACAGTAATAATAGAATAATAAATGTAATAATAACAGTACTAAATAGAGTAAAATAATGGAAATGTAATAATAACAGTAATAATAGAATAATAAATGTAATAATAACAGTAATAATAGAATAATAAATGTAATAATAACAGTACTAAATAGAGTAAAATAATGGAAATGTAATAATAACAGTAATAATAGAATAATAAATGTAATAATAACAGTACTAAATAGAGTAAAATAATGGAAATGTAATAATAACAGTAATAATAGAATAATAAATGTAATAATAACAGTAATAATAGAATAATAAATGTAATAATAACAGTACTAAATAGAGTAAAATAATGGAAATGTAATAATAACAGTAATAATAGAATAATAAATGTAATAATAACAGTACTAAATAGAGTAAAATAATGGAAATGTAATAATAACAGTAATAATAGAATAATAAATGTAATAATGACAGTAATAAATAGAGTAAAATAATGGAAATGTAATAATAACAGTAATAATAGAATAATAAATGTAATAATAACAGTAATAATAGAATAATAAATGTAATAATAACAGTAATAAATAGAGTAAAATAATGGAAATGTAATAATAACAGTAATAATAGAATAATAAATGTAATAATAATAATAGAATAATAAATGTAATAATAACAGTACTAAATAGAGTAAAATAATGGAAATGTAATAATAACAGTAATAATAGAATAATAAATGTGATAATAACAGTAATAAATAGAGTAAAATAATGGAAATGTAATAATAACAGTAATAATAGAATAATAAATGTAATAATGACAGTAATAAATAGAGTAAAATAATGGAAATGTAATAATAACAGTAATAATAGAATAATAAATGTAGTAATAACAGTAATAAATAAAGTAAAATAATGGAAATGTTATAATAACAGTAAGAATAGAATAATAAATGTAATAATAACAGTAATAAATAGAGTAAAATATTGGAAATGTAATAATAACTAATAATAGAATAATAAATGTAGTAATAACAGTGCTAAATAGAGTAAACTAATGGAAATGTAATAATAACAGTAATAATAGAATAATAAATGTAATAATAACAGTAATAAATAGAGTAAAATAATGGAAATGTAATAATAACTAATAATAGAATAATAAATGTAATAATTACAGTAATAAATAGAGTAAAATAATGGAAATGTTATAATAACAGTAATAATAGAATTATAATAAATGTAGTAATACTAATAATAATCGAATAAAATAATAAATGTAATAAAATAATAATAACAGAGTAAAATAATAAATAACCTTGACTTGAATATAAACCGAGGGGGGCTTTTTCAGCCTTAAAAAAGGATTGAAAAACTAGGCTTATACTCGAGTATAAACAGTAAATAATATTTTATAACCTGCCCTTATATTCCAAGGGTCTCAGGGCAGTATATAATGCAAACAGCTTATAAGAGTAAGAATAGCTTTCAAGTACTGAAAGCATATTGAATTGCTTAAAACAACAATTCAAAAACAGTTAATACCATTTAAATGGTGCCTCCAATGGTGCAGTGTGTTAAACCGCTGCTGAACTTGCTGACCGAAAGGTCAGCAGTTTGAACCTGAGGAGTGGGGTGATCTTCTGCTATTAGCCACAGCTTCTGCCAACCTAGCAGTTGGAAAACATGCAAAAGTAGTGTTGCACTATGCAGTCATGCTGGCCACATGACTTTGGAGGCGTCTACGGATAACGCCAGCTCTTCGACTAAGCACCAACCCCCAGAGCACCAACCCCCAGAGTTCAACATGACTAGATTTAATGTCAGGCGAAAACTTTTACCTTTACCTAACACCATTTAAAATAATGTAACCATGTAACATGTGTAAATTATGCAAATACATTGTTAATAAGATTTGATCATTCTAGTTGAAACATCCAGTTGTGAAAACGCAACACATGTAGTGCATCTTGCTTATTCACCTTTCTGCTTCAGGTGTTTGACTTCCTCAAAACATCGATTATGAGAAGCTTCAAGGACAAGCAGTTCCTCCAAGGCTCCAAGTTTCTACAGGACTTAGCTCCTCAGCGCTATGATATATCTGCTGTGTTTTTAGAAGTTGTAGCGAACAGGTGAGTGGCTAAGAAATCAGTTGATGGAATAAACTTTTCTGCTATCCATCCTCCCTCAATCAATGATTATGTAGCTTTGATACTATCATGCATACATCGAAACCTCTACTTAAGAGCATCCCAACTTTAAGAGGATTTGAGTTAGGAGCTGCCGCTCGGCCTGGAGTTCGCTTTGACATATGTGGTGAAGTGTGAGTTTTAATCTATAGTTATGTAGATTACAGTGAGAGGAAGCCACAGGGAGGAGGGAGCAAGCTTGTTTTATGCTTCCCTGGAGACTAGGACGCGGAACAATGGCTTCAAACTACAAGAGAGGAGATTCCATCTGAACATGAGGAAGAACTTCCTGACTGTGAGAGCCGTTCAGCAGTGGAACTCTCTGCCCCGGAGTGTGGTGGAGGCTCCTTCTTTGGAAGCTTTTAAACAGAGGCTGGATGGCCATCTGTCAGGGGTGATTTGAATGCAACATTCCTGCTTCTTGGCAGAATGGGGTTGGACTGGATGGCCCATGGGGTCTCTTCCAACTCTTTGATTCTATGATTCTATGATAAATAGATAGGTGTTTAAAAGGATAAGTATTTAAACTAGTGTAACTGGAGGGATGGCAGCCAGCTCAACTCACTTTGAGCTGGATTGCCATGGGAAAAGGGGCGGAGCCAACTGCCACTTGGCAGGGCAGCCATTTTAAAACAGTTAGTCTGTAGTCAGCGAACTACAGGGAAGGCTGGTTCTGTTGTGTGTTGAGAACCAGTAAAGTAGTCTGTAGTCTAAGAACTACAGGGAAAGGCTGATTCTACTGTGTTGAGAATCAGGAAGGTTTTGGCTTTTAGCCTGTGTAGTTTAGATAGGTCAAGTTGACTTATTTATATTATTAGTCACATCCTCCTTCAGGGTTCAGATAAAAACTCTATTTTAAAATTGACCCTTTTTACCCAAAAAGCGCTGGCCATCCGCGAGAAGATGGAAGCAGAGAGAGGTGACCTTGCTGCCATCAACAAAACTCAAACTTAAAAACTTAATATGGTCATGCCACTAGTTTTACCTACCCATGCCCCCACCCAAACCCTACTTTAAGGAATTAATCAATTTTTAACATTTTAATCTTTTTATCTTTGTAGTTGCTCAATTATTTAGGAGTGGGTCGACAGGCCAGTAGGCCATGATGCCTTGTATTCATATATGGTTTTACTGTATGTGTATGTTTTGTATGTTTTGCATGTTTTGATATGGTCAAAATTGACTAATCAATAAAGAATTGTATTGTATTGTATTGTATTATTGGGCATGAGCAAAAGGGGGAGAGAACCCTAATAAGAATCTTTACTGCAACAGAAATAACATAAGGAAAGAATAAGCTTATACCTGAAGTAATCTGTTAAAAAAAAAAACACATTTTGAAGGAAAATAAGTTTAAAACCTGTTTAGTGGAAGGAATAGTCCTCTTAAGAGTTGTTTACTGAAATGTATTAAATGTAACCTCTGAAGAAATGTGCCTCTAAGAGCTAAGAAACATTGAAACCATCAAGCTTCTTTTATACTTCAATAAACTTGTTATAGTTTCTTCTAAAGCCAAGTCTCTGTTACAAATACTTTCAAGTTAAGCCACGCTACAGTCCAAATCAACATTACAAGCTATTAGTTGTGTTATCCATTTAGTAAGTCCTTACAAAGTGGTGGCTCTTTTACAAACCGTTACAACATAAGACTAGAGTTTTGAGTTAAAGAGTTAGCTCCAGAGAGAGTGCTAGTGCAAGAGTCAGGGCTTTGGGGCTTCAAGGGAGCAGCCTCTGTGCCTCGTGCTTTTGCCCACTGTGGAAATCATAGTCCACTTTACTCTTGTCTGCTTTGAGGAAGTTTGGGTTAGTTGATTTTGTGTGGCTTATTATTCCTGGTATGTTTAGCTTCATGAAGAGAGAGAGGGAGAGAAAAACAGGGGAGGGGGAAATGAGATGAGTACAAGACAAAGAAAATGATGCTTTTCTCCTCTGATGGTTTTGTTCCAGTGTATTTGGCTGGGATCATGTGACGCAGGGCCTGGTGGGTCTGGGATTCATCCTGATGGACTCCTATGGGCCGAAAAGACCCTTTGGGGGTAAAAGCATGGAAACTAACCACAGTCTTTCCAAAACTCCAGCTCAGCAATCGTGCAAGTTAGGAGCTGATATCCTATTGGAAGCATTCAAGGTTAGTCTGAGATGGTGTTGTATATTCTATGTTTTCAGTCGTTGTACTTTTTCTCCTCTTGATGATTGTCACCCCAGGTTTTTAATACCTCAGATATACATCCCTTTTTAAAAGCAAAATGATTTAAAACCAAACCCACATTCAAGAATATATAACCTACTGATGCCTTATTATTATTAATTATTTGATGTTAGAAAATTCTGTTGTTCTGGAATGAATTTTTGGATACAATCACACATGTAGGACAGGATATAAAAGCCCGAAATAATAATAATAATTAGGTTCTTGTGGGTTTTTTTGGGCTATATGGCCATGTTCTAGAGGCATTTCTCCTGACGTTTCGCCTGCATCTATGGCAAGCATCCTCAGAGGTTGTGAGGTCTTGCCATAGATGCAGGCGAAACGTCAGGAGAGAATGCCTCTAGAACATGGCCATATAGCCCGAAAAACCTACAACAACCCAGTGATTCCAGCCATGAAAGCCTTCGACAATATAATAATAATAATGTAAGAAATTTTACTTTTAGAGAAAAAAAGTGCCCGCTCTCAAGAACCTGTGGAATGATTCCCAGTTCTGAACCCAGCTAATTAAAATGAGATACGTGCACAAAAAGTATAAACATGTTTAAATTAATACAATATTTATTATTATTATTATTTCGGGCTTTTATATCCTGTCCTACATGTGTGATTGTATCCAAAAATTCATTCCAGAACAACAGAATGTTCTAACATCAAATAATAATAATAATAATAATAATAATAATAATAATAAGGCATCAGTAGGTTATATATGTTTGAATATTTACATAAAATTAATTTAAGATAAGACTTCCCAACTCTGATTATACCATTATTTTAACCTACTTCAATGTAAATGAATGTGCTTACATATCCTTCCAATAAGAATAAAGACAGTAAAATAATAAATGTAATAATAATAAGAATAGAGTGAAATAATAAATGTAATAACAATCATAAATAGAGGAAAATAATAAATGTAATGATAACAATTATAAAATAAAATAATAAATTTAATAATAATGATAAATGTAATAATAATAATAATAATAATAATAATAATAATAATAATAAATAGAGGAAAATAATAAATGTAATAAAAATAATAATAATGAAAGAGGAAAATAATAAATAACCTTGTCTCGAGTATATGCCGAGGGGGACTTTTTCAGCCTAAAACAAGGGTTAAAAAACTAGGCTTATATGTGAGTATATAAGGTATGTCTTTCAGGCTGAAAAAGCTCCCCTCTGCTTATACTCAAGTCAAGGTTATTTATTATTTTACTCTGTTATGATGATTATTACTCTGTTATGATGATTATACGGTCTTGATTAGTATAATTACATTTATTATTATACTCTATTATTATTATTTATTGCATTTATTATTTTACTCTATTATTATTAGAGGGATACATAAGCACATTTACACTGAAGAATATTAGAATAATGGTTTAATCGTAGTTGGACAGTTTTATCTTAAATTACAATTTTATGTAAACATTCAAAACCATGTAACCTACTGATGCCTCAATTAATGTAATGTTATTGGCATCTGCGAGAAGATCCAACCAGTCCATCCTCCAGGAGATAAAGCCTGACAGCTAATTGGAGGGAAGGAGACTAGAGACAAAGTGGAAGTCCTTTGGCCACATCATGAAGAGACAGCAAAGCCTGGAGAAGGCAATTATGCTGGGGAAGGTGGAAGGTAAAAGGAAGAGGGGCCGACCAAGGGCAAGATGGATGGATGGCATCCTTGAAGTGACTGGACTGACCTTGAAGGAGCTGGGGGTGGTGATGGCGACAGGGAGCTTTGGCGTGGGCTGGTCCATGAGGTCACGAAGAGTCGGAGACGACTGAATGAATGAGCAACAAAAATTGGCATCTATTTTTATTTTGCAATTTACCTGCAGCTGCTGCATTTCCCACTCTCGGCTTATACTTGAGTCAATACGTTTCCCCAGTTTTTTTGTGGTAAAATTAGGCTTATATTCGGGTCAGCTTATACTCAAGTATATACAGTATTTGAGGAGGTACTTCTGCAGGTTTTAGATCCCAAATCATTTACCCCATTAAAACTAAGCACAGAGTGACTGAATTAGTATTTTTGTTCTTCTCAATAAAAAAAAACAAACTATTCTGACATGGGTTAGTTTTATCACTTTCTTCACTAATACGTCTTCAGGTGAAAGTGTTTGGGCTGTTTGATACAAAATCAAAAATAGATGTTTGTGTGTGTTATGCTGTGAATAAACTGAAATTGCATCAACAGAATCTTGCTTTAAGATATTCTACTTCTCAGGTGCATGAGCTAATAAGAAGTGAAATACTGGAACAGGTCCTGAACAGAGTCATCACAACTGCAGGTTCCTCCGTCAGCCACTTTATAGGTAACTAGCCATCCCCTGCCACACGTTGCTGTGGCCCAGTCTGGTGATCTGGAAAATAAAATAATGAGAAAGTGTTGGTTTCTAATATATGTAATTTCTTTCTGCTTGTGGGTAAACAGTATTTCTTGCTGTTTCTTTGTCAGTGTTGATGTGGAGAGTGTCTGGTTTGCCTACTCTGGAACATGCAACATATAATTGTTCTTCTTTAGGGGTCCCTTTCAAATCTATGATACTATATCTCTGTGTGTGTGAATCATATCTATCTATATCTATGGCTGGATGGCTCTTTGTCAGGAGGGCTTTGATTACGTTTTCTTGCCCTGGTGAAGGGAGTTGGACTGGATGGCCTTAAGTATGGTGGTATCTGTGTGGGAAGTTTGCCCAATTCTGTCATTGGTGGGGTTCAGAATGCTCTTTGATTGTAGGTGAACTATAAATCCCATAACTACAACTCCCAAATGTCAAGGTCTATTTCCCTTAAACTCCATCTGTGTTCATATTTGGGCATATGGAATATTCGTGCCAAGTTTGGTCCAGATCCATCATTGTTTGAGTCCACAGTGCTCTCTGGATGTAGGTGAACTATAATTCCCAAACTCAAGGTCAATGCCCACCAAACCCTTCCAGTATTTTCTGTTGGTCATGGGAGTTCTGTGTACTAAGTTTGGTTCAATTCCATCATTGGTGGAGTTCAAAATGCTCTTTGATTGTAGGTGAACTATAAATCCCAGCAACTACAACTCCCAAATGTCAAGATTCTATTTCCCCCAAACTCCGCCAGTGTTCACATTTGGGCGTATTGAGTATTCGTGTAGAGTTTGGTCCAGATCCATCATTGTTTGAGTCCACAGTGTTCTCTGGATGTAGGTGAACTACAACTCCCAAACTCAAGGTCAATGCACACCAAACCCGTCCAATATTTTCTGTTGGTCATGGGAGTTCTGTGTCCCAAGTTTGTTTCAATTCCATTGTTGGTGGAGTTTGGAATGCTCTTTGATTATAGGTGAACTATAAATCCCAGCAACTACAACTCCCAAATGACTAAATCAATCCTACCCCAACCCAACCAGTATTCAAATGTGGGCATATGGGGTATTGCTCTATGGATGTAGGCGGACTACAAGTCCAAAACTCAAGGTCAATGCCCACTAAACCCTTCCAGTATTTTCTGTTGGTCGTGGGAGTTCTGTGTGCCAAGCTTGGTTCAATTCCATCATTGGTGGAGTTCAGAATGCTCTTCGATTGTAGGTGAACTATAAATCCCAGCATCTACAACTCCCAAATGACAAAATCAATTTTTTTTGAGTGATGGTCACTCCTTGGGTTAGTAGGTGTCTTGTGGCCAAATTTGGCATCAATTCGTCCAGTGGATTTTGAGTTATGTTAATCCCACAAACAAACATTACATTTTTATTTATATAGATTATGAAAGGAAACAATTGGAAACGTCTTTGCAAAGACGATTTTCCACCAGTACAGTTCAGGAAAACAGAGAACAAAACAGTCATGTGATGCAAGAGTAAAAGTAACACATAGAATTGATGGGTTGCTTTTATTTAGATCTTTTCTAAATAGATCCCTTCTTAATCTTCCTTTTCAGATCTTTTGTCCAGCATTGTAATGTCTGCTCCCCTTGTCCTTCAAAGCTCGTCCTCCAAAGTTGCAGAGGCTTTTGATCATTTGTCATTCCTGCCTCTTGATACAGTGCAAGGGCTCCTTAAAGCTGTGCAGGTAATGCGGTTTTGTTTTATAGATGTGTATCAGTCAGTCAGTAGCCTTTATTTCGGTCAACAAACCATCGGCTAAGTCAAGTGAAAGTAGAATGATGAAATGCAACAATTAACAATTAATAACATCACATTTGGCTTATAATTAATAAAAACAAGTATCACCATTCGCTATCGGATGAATGACTGTTTATATAATCTAAAACAGGAACGGATTGCAAATTAATAATAAGTCTCCCGAGTACTCTTTGTTACACTCAGCCTTTACAGGTTATTCATGAGGCACTTGCGGCTTTTTGCCGCTGCAAACAGAAATTTGGCCACCTGTTCCGTTACCCTTTTATCAAGATCAGGCAGTAAATAAGTGCAATACCAACTTAGGGATCTTCCTGGCCACTTGGTGAGTAGAGGGGATATTAACCTTAGTCTATCATCCTTGTAAATTGTGCAAATAAAAAGTACATATATTACAGTTTCAATTTTACCCTCCCCGCATGGGCAAACTCTGTGTTCGTAATCAGTCCCTTTGTATCTACCCTCTAGTATGGCTGATTTGAGGGCAGTGAATCTGGCCCAACTGAAAGCAAGGCGAAATTTTGGGATGTTTAAATTTTCAAAGTATTTGGCACCTCCCAAAGAATTAAATGTTAGGCCTAGACTCAATGGAGAGCATGTGGAGCACGCCAGAGTCATTGAGTCCTGTTTGTCTATGTCACTGATCCGTTCCACTAAGATCTGCATTAACTTTTTATGCTCAAAACCGCTCAATATATTCTCTGAGAGGCCCATCTGCCTGAGTTTCTGATTTAGCGCTTTGATTCGGTGGGATTTAAAGAGGTCTTTTTGAATCAGATATGTATATATGTATTGTATGTATTGCATTCCAGCTCAAAACTCTCATTCGGTTTTAGGAACAACATTAAAAACTGTCAGTGTGTGGATTGCTGTGAGTTTTCTGGGCTGTAAGGCCATGTTCCAGAAGCATTCTCTCCTGACGTTTCACCCACATCTATGGCAGGCATCCTCAGAGGTTGTGAGGTCTGTTAGAAACTAGGAAAAGTGGGATTTATATATCTGTGGAATAATGTCCAGAGTGGGAGAAAGAACTCTTATCTGTTGGAGGCAAGTGTGAATGTTGCAATTGGCCAGCTTGATTAGCATTGAATAGCCTTGCAGCTTCAAAGCCTGGCTACTTCCTGCCTGGAGGAATCCTTTGTTGGGAGGTGTTAGTTTGCCCTGATTATTTCCTGTCCAATAAAGGAATACCCAGGTAGGAAGCAGCCAGGTTGTGAAGCTTCAAGGCCATTCAATGCTAATCAAGGTGGCTAATTGCAACATTCACACTTGCCTCCAACAAACAAGAGTTCTTTCTCTCACTCTGGACATTCCACAGATATATAAACCCCACTTGCCTGGTTTCCCACAGATCTCACAACCTCTGAGGTTGCCTGCCATAGATGTGGTCAAAACGTCAGGAGAGAATGCTTCTGGAATGTAGCCATAAAGCCCGGGAAACTCACAGCGGCCCAATGATTCTGGCCATGAAAGCCTCAGGTGGATGGAGTTTCTCTCTTTTGCAGTGGCAGACTATCCATTCTCCTGGACTTCACACTTTGTGTAACTGCAATCGAACCAAACATTGCTGAAATGTTTTCCCATCTGTCTGTATTGCTAGAGTCTGTGGTGCTGTTTTCATGTTCATCCAAACTGCAGAGCTCTCTTTGTTTTTCCTCAGCCTCTGCTCAAAATCAGCATGTCAATGAGGGATTCCCTGATCCTTGTTCTTCGTAAATCCATGTTTTCAGGGTAAGATGCCATTTGAAACAAATTTATTATTTTCTTACCATTAAATTTATAAAAATAAAAACCCACAAACAGCTGCTTTCATAAAATCATGACATTTTAGCTCTTTAGGAATTAACATAACATTTTGGAAAGCAGACCCCTCTCTTCAGCACCAACTGTTGCTCTGAGCCAGAGTGAAGAGAGAGGAACCATTGGCAACCATCTTTGAGAGTTCTTGGAGAACGGGAGAAGTTCCAGCAGATTGGAGGAGGGCCAATGTGGTCCCAATCTTCAAGAAGGGAAAAAAGGATGACCCAAACAATTACCGTCCGGTCAGCCTCACGTCGATACCAGGCAAGATTCTGGAAAAGATTGTTAAGGAAGCGGTCTGCAAACACTTAGAAACAAATGCAGTCATCGCTAATAGTCAACATGGATTTATCAAAAACAAGTCATGCCAGACTAATCTGATCTCTTTCTTCGATAGAGCTACAAGCTGGGTAGATGCGGGGAATGATGCCGTGGATGGAGCGTACCTGGATTTCAGGAAGGCCTTCTTTGACAAGGTCCCCCATGACCTTCTGGCAAGGAAACTAGTCCAATGTGGGCTAGGCAAAACTACGGTGAGGTGGATCTGTAATTGGTTAAGTGGACGAACACAGAGAGTGCTCACTAATGCTTCCTCTTCATCTTGGAAAGAAGTGACAAGTGGAGTGCCGCAGAGTTCCGTCCTGGGCCCGGTCCTGTTCAACATCTTTATTAATGACTTAGATGAAGGGCTAGAAGGCATGATCATCAAGTTTGCAGACGACACCAAATTGGAGGGATAGCCAATAGTCCAGAGGACAGGAGCAGAATTCAAAACGATCTTGACAGATTAGAGAGATGGGCCAAAACTAACAAAATGAAGTTCAACAGTGACAAATGCAAGATACTCCACTTTGGCAGAAAAAAATGAAATGCAAAGATACAGAATGGGGGACGCCTGGCTCGAGAGCAGTACGTGTGAAAAAGATCTTGGAGTCCTCGTGGACAACAAGTTAAACATGAGCCAACAATGTGATGTGCGGCAAAAAAAGCCAATGGGATTTTGGCCTGCATCAATAGGAGCATAGTGTCTAGATCTAGGGAAGTCATGCTACCCCTCTATTCTGCTTTGGTTAGACCACACCTGGAATATTGTGTCCAATTCTGGGCACCACAATTCAAGAGAGATATTGACAAGCTGGAATGTGTCCAGAGGAGGGCGACTAAAATGATCAAGGATCTGGAGAACAAGCCCTATGAGGAGCGGCTTAAGGAGCTGGGCATGTTTAGCCTGAAGAAGAGAAGGCTGAGAGGAGATATGATAGCCAATGTATAAATATGTGAGAGGAAGCCACAGGGAGGAGGGAGCAAGCTTGTTTTCTGCTTCCTTGGAGACTAGGACGCGGAACAATGGCTTCAAACTACAAGAGAGGAGATTCCATCTGAACATTAGGAAGAACTTCCTGACTGTGAGAGCCGTTCAGCAGTGGAACTCTCTGCCCTGGAGTGTGGTGGAGGCTCCTTCTTTGGAAGCTTTTAAGCAGAGGCTGGATGGCCATCTGTCAGGGGTGATTTGAATGCAATATTCCTGCTTCTTGGCAGAATGGAGTTGGACTGGATGGCCCATGAGGTCTCTTCCAATTCTTTGATTCTATGATTCTAGGGGGCCAGGGGACAGTTCCACCTTGTCTCCTGTGCTATTCTAATAATGTAATATAATATAATATAATATAATATAATATAATATAATATAATATAATTGCATATAATATTTATAATATTATAATGTAATGCAATATAATAATAATAATAATAATATCATCATCATCATATTTAATTACTTATTAATCGCCCTCCATCCGAGAATGCTCTAGGCGATTTACAGCTAAATTGTAAAAGATAAAATACATACATACAGAAATTAAAAATTAACAGAGATCGAATGCTCTAGTAAAAAGCCAGGTCTTATGTGCGAGAGTAAAAGGTCCTAAGTCACTCATGGCTCTCATATAGGGTGGCAAGGAATTCCATAAGGCAGGGGCAGAAATAGAAAATATTATGATGTTATAATTATATATTTCTATTACATGTAATATTACTAATAATATAGTAGTATGGTGCAATATAGCAATGTTTAATACTGATATTGTACTATGCTAATAATATAATATATTCTATGTAATATATACCTTGTAAGCCACTCTGAGTCCCCTTTGGGGTGAGAAGGGCGGCATATAAATGTCGTAAATAAAATAAAATAAATAAATAGTGAAATATATTAGCGGATATTAAGGTAAATGCAGTTCTGAAGGTATTTGGCTTGTGTCAATTCATTGACTTGTTTCAGAAGTCATGGGAAATAATAATAATAATAATAATAATAATAATAATAATAAACCTTTATTTGTACCCCGCTACCATCTCCTGATGGACTTGGTGCAGCTTACAAGAGGCCGAGCCCAAATACAACAATAAAAACAGCAGCAACAACAACAACACAATAACTCAAAAAACAAAGCAATAACATTAACAACACACAATTACGCAATTAAAAAAAATGGCCGGGCCAAATGTAATAATTAAAATTAAAAGTGCTGGACATGACAAGGTGGTGTGTTTGGAGGGGGATGGGCATGCAGATATCCTGGATCTCTGATAAAGTGTGTTGGGACATAATGCTAGGAATTTCCTTATTCTGGGAAGGCACACGAACAACCACGTTTTCAAGCTCCTCCTAAAGATTGCTAGCGACGGGGCCTGCCTGATGTCCTTAGGGAGAGAGTTCCAGAGTCGAGGGGCCACCACTGAGAAAGCCCTATCCCTCGTCCCCACCAATCGCGCATGTGATGCCCGTGGGATCGTGAGCAGGGCCTCTCCGGATTAATGAAGAGATCGTGTGGGTTCATACACAGAGATCCGGAGTTTTGGGGTGCGATGTCATCTGTATGCAGATGATGTCCAACTCTATCACTCATTTCCACCTACCACTAAGGAGGCTGTTCAGGTCATGAACCGGTGCTTGGCCGCTGTCTCGGACTGGATGAGGGACAACAGATTGAAACTAAATCCAGACAAGACAGAGGTACTCCTGGTCAGTCGTAAGACCGAACAGGGTACGGGGTTACAGCCTGTGCTGGACGGGTCACACTCCCCCTGAAAGCTCAGGTACGCAGTCTGGGAGTTCTCCTGGATTCATCGCTGAGCCTGGAACCCCAGGTCTCAGCGGTGGTCAGGGGAGCATTCGCACAATTAAAACTTGTGCGCCAGCTGCGTCCGTACCTTGGGAGGGCTGACTTGGCCACGGTAGTACACGCTTTGGTTACATCCCGCTTAGACTACTGCAACGCTCTCTACGTGGGGTTGCCTTTGAAGACTGCCCGGAAGCTGCAGCAAGTCCAACGCGCGGCAGCCAGATTACTAACGGGGGCTGGGTACAGGGAGCACACCACTCCGCTGTTACGCCAGCTCCACTGGCTGCCAATTAGCTTCCGAGCACAATTCAAAGTGCTGGTGTTGACCTATAAAGCCCTAAACGACTCTGGCCCTGTTTACCTCTCCGAACGTATTCTCCCCTACGAACCATCAAGATTACTAAGATCATCTGGAGAGGCCCTGCTCTCGGTCCCACCGGCCTCGCAAGCGCGGCTGGTGGGGACGAGGGACAGGGCCTTCTCGGTGGTGGCCCCGACTCTGGAACTCTCTCCCTCTGGAGGCCAGAACCGCCCCATCCATCCTAACATTTAGGAAACGGGTGAAGACGTGGCTGTGGAGTCAGGCCTTCGATGAATGAACTCCACAGGCCCTGGATGGAAGTTGAGGTAGATCCATCTTAATAGGGCGACTGACCACTGTAGTTTTATATATAGTGTTTTTAAAGTTGTTTTGTAATTTGTGATATATGATATTTTAATGAATGTATATGTTTTTATGGCTGTAAACTGGGCTGAGTCCCTCAACGAGGTTGAGAAGCTCGGTTTACAAACTGTGAAATAAATAAATATACGAGATGGAAACTGTAGATGGAAACCGTACTTTGTCATCACAAAACTTCTGTATATGGTTTGAAGCAACACTACTGGTTTTTATTGTGTGTCAAAGTACAGATTCAAACTAGAGATCTCCCAGAAATCTTTAGAGAAGAGTATCCTTTGGGGGGGCGGGAGGGTGTCTCTGTTTTCTCTATTTTTTTTCTTCCTCATGCATCCTATCCTAACTGCAGGCAGTTGGATGCCCGCAAGTCAGCAGTCGCTGGGTTTTTGCTCCTCTTGAAGAACTTTAAACTCCTGGGCAGCTTGACCTCATCTCAGTGCAGCCAAGCCATTGGGGCAAGTCAGGTAAGCATAACTCGTTTCTTCATATCCCGGGTACCTGTTTGCCCTTTGTACTTATTAATATTATATAACTAGCTTGGGTACCCGACGTTGTCCGGGTCATTTTTTAAAAATGGTACAAAATGCATAAGATTGTGGGTGAACTACAACTCCCATCATGCCAGGTTAACCCTGAAAAGCTCCATCAGTTTGTTATGTTGGGCAAGTTTGCTCTAGATGCGTCATCGGTGGGGTTCAGTGTGCTCTCTGCCTGTAGGGTAAACTACAACTCCCACTATGGTGAGTCAGTCCCTCAAACCCATCCAGTAGGTTGAGTTAGTCATGGAGGTTGTGTATGCCCAGTTTGGTCCAGGTCCATCATCGGTGGAGGTCACAGTATCTCCACTTGTGGGTGAACTACAACTCCCAGAAAGGAAGGTCAGTTCCTYCAAAACCCCTTCAGTAATCAAATTTTGGCGTATCAGGTATGTGTGCCAAGTTTGGTTCAGATCCATTGGTGTTTGAGTTCACAGTGCTCTCTGGATATAGGTGAACTACAACTCTCCCAAATCGGGGGGGGGGGGGTTGTAGTTCACCCCCAGTATTTTTTACTGGTCATGAGGCTTCTGTGTGCCWAGTTGGTGGAATTCAGAGTGCTCTTCRATTGTATGTGAACTATACATCCCCGTACCTACAAAGGTCGCCAGTTCATATCCGGGGAGCGGGGTGAGCTCCCGCTGTTAGGCCCAGCTTCTTCCAATTTAGCAGTTCGAAAACATGTGAATATTAGTAGATCAATAGGTACCGCCTTGGTGGGAAGATAACGGCACTCCATGCAGTCATCCTGACCACATGACCTTGGAGGTGTCTACAAACAATGCCGGCTCTTTGGCTTAGAAATGGAGATGAGCACCACCCCCTGAGTCGGACACAGGAAAATATTTTACCTTTACCTAACCTTAGAACACCTGGAAGACCATATGTGGGCCATACCAGTCATAAATAATATTTGCATAATATTTAGAACTCAGCTTTCAAAGCTATTGTTTTTTGGGAAAGCAGACAGCATCTTATCAGACAAAGCTTGGTGGGATCACAGTAGAACTAACTGCACAAAAGAAGCAACATCTTGTGAAGGAAGTCTTCTCCGCTTTCTGTAACTATTAACCACTGATGCCTGAATAGTTTCCTGATGTTCCATGGACTCCTAAAGAAGATGTTGACTTTAGAATTAATATAATTTTTGCAATACACATGTTAATTGTCTTTAGCCATAGAGAATAGACGGCAATTCTGAATGATTCTGATATTGCCTTGCAGGTCCAGGTGGATGTCCACGCTCACTATAATGCTGCAGCCAATGAGGCCTTCTGTCTAGAAATCCTGGGCAGTTTGAGGCGATGCTTGAGCCAGCAGGCTGATGTCAGGCTCATGCTCTATGAGGTGAGAACCCCCTTCTGTGTACTCATTAGTTATAACAGGTCAAGTTGTTGTCATTTAGAAGATTTCTAGCAATAGTTTAGCTTCAAACAGAGCTCCTGAAATCCTGATGATACAGTATTGTTCTGGTTTTATACCAGTATGCTGATGACAACGTCATCCGTGCGCATTCAGAAGAAGACCCACAAGCCACTCTAAACACCTTTGCAGAAGCATACGAGAAGCTCGGCCTGTCATTAAACATTGAGAAAACCAAAATGCTCTTCCAGCAGTCACCAACCAATCCCTCTCCAATGCCAGAAATACAGCTGAATGGTGTAACATTAGAACATGTTGACCATTTCCGCTCCCTTGGCAGCCACCTCTCTGCAAAAGTCAACATTGACACTTAAATTCAACACTGCCTGAGCTCTGCGAGTGCAGCATTTTTCCAAATGAAGCAGAGAGTGTTTGAGGACCGGGATATCCGTACGGAGACCAAGGTGCTTGTTTATAAAGCTATTGTCCTCCCAACCCTGCTCTATGCCTGTGAGACGTGGACTGTCTACAGACGTCACATGCAACTCCTGGAATGATTCCATCAGCGCTGCCTCCGGAAAATCCTGCAAATCTCCTGGGAAGACAAGCGGACTAATGTCAGCATGCTGGAAGAAGCAATGACCACCAGCACTGAAGTGATGGTCCTCTGCCATCAACTCTGCTGGATTGGCCATGTTGTCCAGATGCCCGACAACCGTCTCCCAAAGCAGTTGCTCTACTCTGAACTCAAGAATGGAAAATGGAATATCAGTGGGCAGGAAAAGAGATTTAAAGATGGGCTCAAAGCCAACCTTAAAAACTGTGGCATAAACACTGAGAACTGGGAAGCCCTGGCCCTTGAGAGCTCCAGCTGGAGGTCAGCTGTGACCAGCAGTGCTGTAGAATTTGAAGAGGCACGAATGGGAGCAAAAGAGAGAAACATGCCAAGAGGAAGGCGCGTCAAGCCAACCCCAACCGGGACCGCCTTCCACCTGGAAACCGATGCCCTCACTGTGGGAGAAGATGCAGGTCAAGAATAGGGCTTCACAGTCACCTACGGACCCACCGCCAGGATACTACTCTTGGAGGACCATCATCCTCAGACTACGAGGGATCGCCTAAGTAAGTAAGGTTTTACACCTTTGCCCACCTGCACGGTGCTCTCCATGGCAATGTGAGATGGAAACTGGTTTGGTATTACAAGCTAAGCCAGGGTTGTTTTGTCTGCCAGACTGTTGCCATCAGTTTTGACCTTGTTGATAGTAGTGCAAAGATGGAGATGCTTTGTTTGTGTTGACTGACGATGGGAGATAAATTACATTTTTAAAAAATGATAGCCATTCTTCTTTCATCTTCTTACAGGGTTTTTATGACGTTTTGCGTAGGAACTCACAACTGAGCAATTCCGTTCTGGATATGCTTCTCTCCCAGGTACAGAACGTACGGCAAGGCTGAAAAATGACATTGTTGATTCAGACTTTTTGCCAAGCCATTGGCACTACAGGCTTGAGCCCCAAACCCTTGTGATCCTGAATTCAACCTAATGCAGTAACCAAAGCTGAGCAAGATTTTTGTTTGTTCTAATTTTAATTTTGTTGGCATTCAGCCTCCCTCTTACTTTCTTTTAGCCACCTTAGGGTAAAATGATACCTACCCATTATGTAGTAATTGTTGTTCCTCATTTTTGATGGCAGATGAAGCGGTATTACGAAACAGAGCCTGACTTGCTGCCTCCGATAAAACTCGAGGGGTGCATCCTGGCACAGAGAGACCAAATCTTCCTGCAAGAACCTTTGGTGAGAGATGGGGAGTGGCTTCAGATTTGCTGAATAGGTTGCTGGCATACTTTCCATAAGCTACAGGTCTTTATACGCCCAAATCATCATTTGAGAAGCTTGCAGTGATGCAAATGGGAGCTTAGCTTTTTCTATAAACTGTATTTTAAAATTACCTAAATATTTTTAATTACAAAAATGTGAGTAAAGCACTGAAAAGGATTAAATGGATGCAATGACTCAGAAAAAGCCGTAGTTCTATATAAGCAGTTATGCCTGTAGCATAGCCCTGAATCCCCTTTGGGGTTGAGAAGGGCGGTATACAAATATTACAAATAAATAATAGCCCTCAGTCTGAGGTAGCTCTCAGTCAGTGGGAGATCTCTGTGGGAGAAGGACTTCTGTGTTAGTAGGCCTCAGTATGAGTAGGCCTCAGTGTTAGCTTGTCTTGGTGAGAGGAAGGCCTCAGTCTGAAAGAGCCCTCAGTGTATGAGGGCCTCAGTGGAAGAAAGGTCTCAGTGTGAGGTAGGCCTCAGTGTGAGTAGGCCTGGTGTGAGGAGCTTTGGTGAGAGAAGCCTCAGATTGAAGGCCATTGTGTGTAAATGTTGGGGTTCAGCCTGTGTCTGAACCTGAACCTGATTCTCTGATTGTATTCCCTGATGCCAATGTAGATGTCAATGTGAATTCTGAGGCCAATTTAGATGATGATGGTTTGAGTAGTGAAAATCCTACAGCCTTGGAAAGTGAAAGTCAAAATTCCCATGGGAACATGCATTCCGAGCCGAGCGGAGAAGTTTCACTCCCTTTTCCTCCCAGCCTTAGTTCTCCAGAGAATCTGACACCTGGTCTGCCTAATGAGGACAGGCGGGGGCAGATTTGGCAGAGCCGGGGAGAAGCACAAAGTTTACGTAGGTCAGCCAGATTGAGAGAAATGCAAACAAAAACGTCAGGCATGTCTCGCAATAGATTTCTCGGCCTTAAGTATGCCTGGCCTGAATGCAGCTTCAGACCAGGCATCGTTCCAGATTCATGTGCAAGCTTTTGCAGGTCTCCTGATTCAAGTGGCCTTGTTCCTTGGAGGTTTTCTAGTTGTTCCAAGTACAGTTAGTGGATTGCTAACAGGTTCCAGGATTCAGCAGTTTTGCTGTGGATTTTATGATCTTGTTTATGGACATTTCTTGTTGCTGATTTTTACTGTGACTTTTTACCTTTGCATTTTTCCCTCTATTTTGTATTCATCTTTCATCAATAAAAAAGGATTGTTTTCCTGAAGTCAAGTGTGGTGGATGGTTGTCTGAGGGTCCAGTTTCCTGCTCTGGGTTGCAACAGTAAAGTTCTAGAGCAGGGGTCCTCAAACTAAGGCCCGGGGGCCGGATACGGCCCTCCAAGGTCATTTACCCGGCTCTCACTCAGAGTCAACCTACATCTGAAACTACTTGAAAACACAACAACAACAACAACAATCCTAGCTCATCAGCCAAAAGCAGGCCCACACTTCCCATTAAAATACTAATAAGTTTATATTTGTTAAAATTGTTCTTCATTTTAATTATTGCATTGTTTTTAAGTGTTTTGTGCACCACAAATAAGATGTGGGCAGTGTGCATAACTATTCATTCATTTTTTTTTTCCAAATTATAATCTGGCCCTCCAACAGTTTGTGACCTGGCCCTCTGTTTAAAAAGTTTGAGGACCCCTTCTCTAGAGTGAAGGCTGCGGTGTGTAAAGCCACTGTGTGAAGCTCCTGTGTACGTTTGGAGTGAGAAGAAGCTCTGTGAGAGCACAGCTGTTTGTCTATTAGGCTTGGGTAACCACGGAAAAATTTGGTTCTAAACTCGTTTTGTTTTTAGGGGGCCCTTGTGTTTCGTTTTTTTTTAATAATTCCGAAATTTTCCTTTTAAAATTTTTGAAATATACAAAATTTCATATAATTACGAATCTATTCGTTAGTGGCGGACGCGATTGCGCAATATGCTAAAAAACCCTCCAAATGGGACAGGGGGAACTTCTGAAGCTTCCCTCTCCCTCTGTTGTTGACTGTTGGTGTGATAAAACAAACAACAACTATAAAACTTGCACCAGACATGCAAAAATAATTACGAAATAATTACAAAATAATTACGAAATAAATTGAAAAAATTGTTTCGAATCTAATTTACTCCTCACACTATTCCTGCATGGCTCAATATTGGATCGTAAGCTAATTTAAATATGAATTAATAACGAATTACGAAATTAACGAACAAAACCGCCCAAGCCTATTGTCTATGAGAAAGAAGCCCAGTGTGAAAGCAGAGAAGGAAGTAGAAAGAACTTTGTTCATGTTATGGAAATTTTGTTTTTGTAAATAGTGCAACCATATTATTTTGCTATAAAGAAATGCCTCCTATAGAAGATATAACATTGGCCTGTGTGTATGTTTTTTTATCACTTTGGGTCACACTGCTGCTAACAAGTTACTCTGCTATACATTTATGAGGAGAGTCGTTTGTTAATAAGCCCAATCTCCCAACATAAACAACATTAAGTGTGGGAGCTCCAATTCAAATCAGAAATGCAGTGAGAGGCAAAAAATAAACATGGTATTGTCGAAGGCTTTCATGGCTGGAATAAACATGGTCTTTATTATCACCGTCCTATAATATTGTCCTCCTCTATGTGTCTGAACAAACTAAGAGTTAAATGTATTGTCGAAGGCTTTCATGGCTGGAATCACTGGGTTGTTGTAGGTTTTTTTTTCCGGGCTATATGGCCATGTTCTAGAGGCATTCTCTCCTGACGTTTCGCCTGCATCTATGGCAAGCATCCTCTGAGGATGCTTGCCATAGATGCAGGCGAAACGTCAGGAGAAAAATTGCCTCCAGAACATGGCCATATAGCCCGGAAAAACCTACAACAACCCTAAGAGTTAAATGTTTTGGGTTGTTTTTATCATTCCTTTAGGCACATTTACTCTGCTGTATCCAGCATTGCCTAGCCTGGTATAAGAATACCTTGACTCTGCGTCAGCAGAATGAAGAAGATGCGGATGAAGAGGAAGAGGATGAGAAAGGCTCCGAGCAAGAATTGGAGGAGATGCTGGAGTCCATCACACGGCGAATGATCAAGAGTGAACTCGAAGATTTTGAACTGGTAACTTACAAAGACAGGTTGGCAAGGCATTCTGGGGCCACGGCTTGGGGAAGAGATGTTGATGTCTTTTGTTTTTCATCCTCAGGATAAGTCAGCAGACTTTTCTCAATCTACTGGAGTGGGCCTGAAGAACAATATCTACGCCATTTTGGTGATGGGTGTCTGTGAGGTCCTGATTGAGTATAATTTCTGCATAGGACAGTTCAGGTAAACAGTACATTCTCTCGGCCTTTGTAAGCCGCATCGAATCCTTCGGGAGATGCTAGCGGGGTACAAATAAAGTTTAATAATAATAATGATAATGATAATTTATCAGTACCAGTTCCTTATTAGATGACAGGGTGAAATCTGACTCTGTCTGCCATTGATTAGTCCAATGATTCAGGGGTGCTACATGGGAAAAATGTTTCCCATCCCAATGCTTTGCAGCGTATAATTAATACTTATCTCTTGGCACTTTAAAATGATATTTTTAATTATGTTTAACTTTTAATTTAATCAAGTTTTAATTGTGTTTTAATGTATGTTCACTATTACAGGAGTTTTAGGACAATGATTAGTATTTATGTATTTTCTTGTTTTTGTCTTTTACTGTTGATATGGTCAGTGGACTAATCAATAAACTTTACCGAAAGTCTAATACTTACCTTGCACATCTGCCATAACTACACTCAGCAGAAAGAGTGAGAAATAAATGGGCCTAATGTAGATAGGTAAAGGTAAAGGTAGTCCCCTGACATTAAGTCCAGTCATGTCTGACTCTGGGGTGTGGTGCTCATCTCCATTTCTAAGCCGAAGAGCCAGCGTTGTCCGTAGACACCTCCAAGGTCATGTGGCCGGCATGACTGCATGGAGCGCCGTTACCTTCCCGCCGGAGCGGTACCTATTGATCTACTCACATTTGCATGTTTTCGAACTGCTAGGTTGGCAGAAGCTAGGGCTGACAGCGGAAGCTCACGCCGCTCCCCGGAATCGAACCTGCGACCTTTCGATCAACAAGCTAAGCAGCTCGGTGCTTTAACCCACTGTGCCACCGGAAGCTCCCTAATGTAGATAGCCACTACAAAATTGCAGTATATTGTTTATCATTACAATACCTCTTTGTTAGGCATCATTCTTTGTTGGAAATAGCAACTTTCTGCTTGCCTCCTATACTAGTTATTTGTTATGTATATAATACTGATTGCTTAGTATAGTGTATGTGTATTTTGATATGTGGTTTTCCCTTAAGTCTATGTTGCTTGAGGTTGTGGGAGGGGACTACAGACCATGTGACCAGATCCAGTGCCTGGAGAAAAGATTGCTCCAGGCACTGTCAGGCCATCAAATGCTAATCAAGGTGGGCAGTTGAAACATTCACACCTAGCTCCAGGAGACAAGAGCTCTTGGCCCCACCCCAGTCATTCCACAGATATATAAACTAGGCCTGGGTAACAACGCAAAAATTTGTTTCTAAAATCGATTTGTAATTGGGGTGTTTTTTTGTTTCGATATTTAAAATAATTACAAAATTTTCCCTTGAAAAAGTTCGGTATTTACGAAATTTCGTAAATATTTACGAATCGATTCGTTAAGATGGCGCCCGGGTTGGCGCATGCGCAAAGCATTTACGAAATTTCGTTATTTGTATGCATCGCTAATAACGAATCGATTCGTTAAGATGGCGCACCGCGTTAGCGCATGCGCAAAAGGCATTTACGAAATTTCGTTATTCGTGCTAATTGCACTGTATTATATTATATATAGCACTTTGTGTTGGCAAAAGGAGCGCACTGGTTGGAACTACACAAATAATGAGCGAGCACTGTATTATATAGCACTTTGTGTTGGCAAAAGGAGCGCACTGGTTGGAACTACACAAATGACAAACGCACACACAGGCACACAAGATTCTTTTATTTTTTTAGAATATTTTTTGATTTTTTTTAAGAATAAAAGAAAGGTATTTTTCAAAAATATTTAAAAATGGAAACTTAACAAAATGCTCTCCCCGCTGTGGAGCCAACAGCCACAAGACAGGGGGAAACACACACACACAGGCTCACAAGATTCTTTCCTTTTTTTAGAATATTTTTTGATTTTTTTTAAGAATAAAAGAAAGGTATTTTTCAAAAATATTTAAAAATGGAAAATTAACAAATTAACAAAAACCGCCCTCGCTCTCCCAACAACAGAATTAAGGAATTAAGGAATCAATGCAAGGAAATCCAGCTTAGCCAGCCAACCAAGCCAATGCAAGCCAATGCAAGCCAATGCAAGCCGCCCTCCCGGACCTCCCTTCTCCCTCGCCTCCGCAACAATGAGCAAAGCGGCCACGCGGAGCCGCTTTTAAAGGGCTTCCCGGCCAATCAAAATCAGCCACGGTGCACTGCTTGGGTGCTTGGGAGCGCCGGATTGGCTCCCAGGCACCAGCATCCTCCATCCCATTTCCGAAACGGGCGGAAGCTCGTAAAAAGGATGGAGGATGCCGTTTCGTTATTGAAAAACCCTTCCGGGTTTGAAAAAATGTTTTGTATTCATTTCGTAATTGCTAAAAATAACGAATATTTAACGAATTACAAAATTAACGAACGAAACCGCCCAGGCCTACTATAAACCCTTTTTCCTAGTTCCAACAGACCTCACTACCTCTGAGGATGCTTGCCATAGATGCAGGCGAAACGTCAGGAGAAATGCCTCTAGAATATGGCCATATAGCCCAAAAAACCCCACAACAACCCAGTTTTTAAATTTTGTTTTCATCTTTTCACAGCAAGAGCAAATTTGAAGACGTTCTGGGTTTGTTTAAGTGTTACAGCAAACTTTGTGAAATCTTGAAAGAGAAAGCTGGAAAGAATAAGCTCACCGTTGCAAATAAAATTCCTCAGAGCTTCCTTTCTATGGGCTTTGTGTGCAACTTGCTCTCAAGTCTCTTCAGGTAAAGCACTCTCATGGGGGAGACCTTCATTTATTGTATTCCTGTATCCCTTGGGAAGTCTGATCTGGCCACGGTGGTCCATGCTCTTGTTACATCCCGAATAGATTACTGCAATGCGTTCTACGTTGGGTTGCCTTTGAAGACTGTTCAGAAACTTCAACTAGGCTAAAGGGCTGCGGCTAGATTACTCACCGGAGCGTCATAAAGGGAGCCCACCCTCCACTGGCTGCCGATCCAGTTCCGAGCACAATTCAAAGTGCTGGTTTTGACCTACAAAACCCTTTACGGCTCCGGCCCAGCGTACCTGTCTGAACGTATCTCCTTCTACGTCCCCTCTCGGAGTTTAAGATCTTCTGGGGAGGCCCTGCTCTCGGTCCCACCTCTATCACAAGTGAGACTGGTGGGGACGAGGGACAGGGCCTTCTCGATGGTGGCCCCTCGCCTGTGGAATGCGCTCCCCGGGGAAATTAGGTCATCAGCATCCCTCCTCTCCTTCAGAAGGAAGTTAAAAACCTGGATATGGGACCAGGCCTTTGGGTAAGCTGGCAGATGGACAAAAGACAATGACGACCAGAGTAGGAAAGGACAATGTTGGATGGATTACGGATTTATGAATTGGCGAATGTTGACCACAAGATGATTTTATTGCTGCTATTGTATTAATTTGACTGTTTTAACTAGTTATAACTGTTGTTGTTATATTGTATTTTGTATATTGTATTTTGTGAACTGTTGGGCATCGAATTGTGCCTTTTGCAAGCCGCCCTGAGTCCCCCCTAGGAGGTTGAGAAGGGCGGGGTAGAAGCACCCCAAATAAATAAATAAATAAATTTGTGAGACCAGCATCACGATTTGACTTCATCCTGCACTTTTAGGGACAGTTCCCTGATCCACGAGGAGAGCCTGGCCATTTTGCGTTCCAGCAATGAATTCATGCACTATGCGGTCAGTGTAGCATTACAGAAAGTGCAACAGTTGGAGGACAAGGGGCAAACAGATGGACCCGATGGGCAGAACCAAGAGAAGAATTTCCAAAACCTCTGCAAAATCACTCGGTGAGTCCCAGGCCATCGCTTATGACTGGTAACTAGTGACAGTCAAACTGAGGCATCAAATCTGCAAGAGTTTGAAATTGGGTTGACACTGCATTGGGTTTTATAGCTCTCTGAGACTATGGGAACAACATATATCTGTAGTAAAGTAAGTAAAATAAGGTAAAGGTTTCCCCTGACATTAAGTCTAGTTGTGTCTGACTCTGGGGGTTGGTGCTCATCTCAATTTCTAAGCTGAAGAGCCAGCATTGTCCGTAGACCCCTCCAAGGTCATATGGCCAGCATGGCTGCATGGAGCGCAGTTACCTTCCCGCAGAAGCAGTACCTATTGATCTCACATTTTCCATGTTCTCGAACTGCTAGGTTGGCAGAAGCTGGGCCTAACAGCAGGAGCTCCCTGGATTCAAATTGCCAACCTTTCAGTCAGTAAATTCAGCAGCTCAGCAATTTAACCCGTTGTGCCACCAGGGAGTTCTTTCTGTAGTAAACAATAAAGTTAAAAGATGTAATTTTTACTTTTTAATATAGATAAAGTTCTCAAAGCATTGCACAATAGTGAAATCAACTTTGTAGGCGGCAGAGTATGCTGTTATCATAATCAGGAGTCCCATACATTTTCAGAAAAGATACTTTCTGAATATTCTTATCTTCTGATTTGAGAAACCTCCTGGAGCAAGATAAGTCCAACATCTTTATTAATTACTTAGATGAAGGGTTAGAAGGCATGATCATCAAGTTTGCAGATGACACCAAGTTGGGAGGGATGGGTTATACTCGAGAAGACAGGAGCAGAATTCAAAACGATCTTGACAGATTAGAGAGATGATTGGCCAAAAGGAACTAAATGAAGTTCGACAGGGACAAATGCAAGATACTCCACTTCGGCAGAAAAAATGAAATGCAAAGAGACAGAATGGGGGACGATGAGGCCTGGCTCGAGAGCAGGACGTGTGAAAAAGATCTTGGAGTCCTCGTGGACAGGAAGGTGAACATGAGCCAGGAATGTGATGTGGCAGCAAAAAAAGCCAATGGGATTTTGGCCTGCATCAAGAGGAGCATAGTGTCTAGATCTAGGGAAGTCATGCTCCCCCCTGTTCTGCCTTGGTTAGACCACACCTGGAATATTGTGTCCAATTCTCGGCATTGCAGTTTAAGGGAGATGTTGACAAGCTGGAATGTGTCCAAAGGAGAGCGACTCAAAGGATCAAGGCTCTGGAGAACAAGCCCTATGAGGAGCGGCTTAAGGAGCTGGGCATGTTTAGCCTGAAGAAGAGAAGGCTGAGAGGAGACATGATGGCCATGTATAAATACGTGAGAGGAAGTCATAAGGAGGAGAGAGCAAGCTTGTGTTTTGCTTCCCTGTTGACTAGGACACGAAACAATGGCTTCAAACTACAAGAAAGGAGATTCCATCTGAACATTAGGAAGAACTTCCTGACTGTGAGAGCTGTTCAGCAGTGGAACTCTCTGCCCCGGAGTGTGGTGGAGGTTCCTTCTTTGGAGGCTTTTAAACAGAGGCTGGATGGCCATCTGCTGGGGGTGCTTTGAATGCGATTTTCCTGCTTCTTGGTGGGGGGTTGGACTGGATGGCCCACGAGGTCTCTTCCAACTCTATGATTCTATGATGAGTGGGGCTTTGCAGAATCCAGTATGTCAGTATGGTCAGTGGTCACATAAAGTAGTCCAAAAAATCTGAAATGCTAGAGTTTCACATCTAATCTAAGCAGGCGTCCTACATTTAGTTGTGACTATCTTTTCTCAATGGCAACATTAGCAAAAGGAGATCTTGGGCAGCAGGTGAATAGAATGCTTTTCTTGACCTCAACGCATTCCACCAAACATATTTGCTGGCCTTCAGCTAGTGAAAGGATCACTGGGTTGCTTGACCAGACTGAAGAGTAGGGGTAGAGTATGACTGGGGACTGTAAAGAAGGCACATCTGCATAATCTGTGTAAGAACAGTCCCATTTCTCAGGCTTATATGTTAATCCACTGTTGTTCCTTCTACCTCCTAATAAAGATGAGTTGGCCTGTGTAGCGAAATTGCTACTCTATGTTAAATTTTTGGTGTATAGCTCTATGTTTACACATGGCAGATAGGGAAGAATAGGCACAGACAGGGTAGCAACAGCAGAGATAGGACTCATTTGCATATGGAAGCCGATTGGTCATATGCAGATTAGCGTAGGCCCAGGATTTGAAAAGGTTGCTAGGCCAAAATGACAGTTGGGAAGAGCAGAGCTAAACATTCTAAAAGGGGGGAGCCAAGGTTTAAAAAATTAGAGAGACAAAAGAGTTAGTTAGGAATTGCTGTTTGTGAAGAGAGTTAGGGATTCCTGTTTGTGAGAGACAGTTAGGAACTTCTGTGAGAGAAAAGAGTTAGGAACTCCTGTTAGGAATAAGCAGTTATGAAGATGTGTTAAAGACTTCTGATATATAGAAGCAGTTAGTTAAATAGAGCTCAAGTTTTAGGAACATAAAGAAAGCCAGTGGTGCTTTAGTCAGAATATAATTTCAGTCAAGAGTGTGTAAAGCAAGTAACATGTTTGTGAATGTGAAACATTGAAAGTCTATTTCAGAAAAGTAAACCAAGTATATTATACTGACTGTAAGCCTCAAGATTGCAACAAGACACAAATGTAACCGCAAGCGTTGGAGCCAGAAGTTAACTGTGTTACTTTGTTATACAGAAGTGTGTCTCAGTGCCTGTACAAAGGTTAAACAGAACACAGAAAGTCCCAGCTAATATAAAAGAAGAAACTGAATCAGTATAAGAGCAAAGAGATTTTTCTTAAATAAAAAATAGTCTCCCTCCCTCGCTACAGCCTGTATATTATAAGGTGCAGTGAGTAATTTGAAGACCACATTTTTCTTGGCTGGCCACAATTTTTTTTAAGTGGTGGGCAATCTGGATGGATGAATCCAGATTGCTAATGATTGAGAATTGCTGTCTCTAGAACCTGCTCTGCCTTTCCCACAGAGTCCTGCTTTGGAGATACACCTCCATCCCAACCGCAGCTGAAGAATCAAGGAAGAAAGAGAAGGGAAAGAGCATCTCACTGCTGTGCTTGGAGGGCTTGCTGAGGATTTTCAACACCATGCAACAGATTTTCCCCAAAAAGATTCCACAATTTCTACAGGCACTGGGTAAGCATTTGTGCTACTCCTTTTTTTGTGGATTGTGCTGTGGGATGTCACAAGGAGTTTATTCTCAGAATCACATGCCCCAGTATCTGGAATCGGAAAGTATAAAAGACCACCTTCTTCCATGTGAATTTGCTCATCTATTGAGATCTTTCAAAGCATTTCTCCTGACGTGTCCCTACGTGCCATCTTTATGTAGTTACTAGCTGTACCCGCCACGCGTTGCTGTGACCAACCTTCCCTCCCTCTTTCTCTCCTTCTTTTTCTCCTTCCTTCCTTCTCTTTTCTTCTTTCCTTCGTTCCTTCTCTACCTCTTTACTTCCTTCTCCCATTTTTCTTTTCCTTCTTCTTTCTCTCCTTTCTTCCTTTTCTACCTCTTTCCTTCCTTCCTTTACTTTTTGCTTCCATCCTTCTTTCTCTTTTCCTTCTTTCCTTCCCTCCTTTTCTCTCCTTTCTTTCTTCTCTACCTCTTTCCTTCCTTCCTTGGGTTTTTGCTTCCATCCTTCCTTCTCTTTCCTTCCCTCCCTCTTTCCTTTCCCTCCTTCCTTCACTCCCTCTTTCTTTCCTTCCATTATTTTCTTTCCTTCCCCTTCTTCCTTCTCTACATCTTTCCTTCCTTCCCCTTTTCTTTTCCATCTTTTTTCTCTCCTTCCTTCCTTTGCTCTTTGCTTCTATGCTTCCTTCTTTCTTTCCCTCCCTCCCTCCCTCCTTCTTTCTTTCTTTCTTTCTTTCTTTCTTTCTTTCTTTCTTTCTTTCTCCCCTTCCTTCCCTTTTTTTCTGTATCATCATTTAGCTTTTTTCATTTAGCTTTTTTGGTTTTTAAGTCCTCCGCAGGTTTTTTTTTGGGGGGGGAGCAGGGGGTTATGAGTGATGGTCACTCGTTGGTCCGTTAGGGGTGAAGTGTCCAAATTTGATGTCAATTCCTCCAGTGGTTTTGAGTTATGTTAATCCCACAAATGAATATTATATTTTTATTTATATATAGATAAGAGGCATGGCTTGCTCTGCAGAATATTTGGCTTAGAATCACCTTCTGGGTAAATGAGTATTGACCTTGGAGAAATTCCATTCATGCATGGCTCCTTCCTGGATCTGAGAATTTGATGCTGGTTACTGATGATGAAGGTCCATTCTAGACCTCAGTGAAAGAGGCATTTAATACTGTTTTATTCTGTATTTGTAGCCCTCGGGAGTGTGATGGGTTAAACCCTTGTGCTGGCAGGACTGTTGACCGAAAGGTTGCAGGTTAGAATCTGGGGAGTGGGGTAAACTCCCGTCTGTCAGCTCCAGCTTTTCATGCGAGGACATGAGAGAAGTCTCCCACAGGATAGTAAACCATCCAGGCGTCTCATGGGCAGCATCCTTGCATACGGCCAATTCTCTCACACCAGAAGCAACTTGCAGCTTCTCAAGTCACTCCTGACATGAAAAAAAATGTATTTATGTTTTTAATTGGTGCATATATGATGTTTTGGTATTTTTAAATTAACTGTTCATGTTTGAACAGATCAAATTGTTGCCAATTAATCGCTCTATGAAGGAGAGGGCGGGATATCATACACAATACATTATAGAAACAGATGTATTGTGTATCTAAATTTTATTTATTTTATTTATTGACTTTGTTTTATATCCCGCCCTCTCCCTCATGTAATGTAATGTAATGTTTGTTTGTGGGATTAGCATAACTCAAAAACCATTGGACGAATTGCCACCAAATTTGGACACAAGACACCTATGAGGCCAACAAGTGACCATCACTCATAAAAGCAATGAAAAACACAAGAGAGGAGATTCCATCTGAACACGAGGAAGAACTTCCTGACTGTGAGAGCCGTTCAGCAGTGGAACTCTCTGTCCCGGAGTGTGGTGGAGGCTCCTTTGGAAGCTTTTAAACAGGCTGGATGGCCATCTGTCAGGAGTGATTTGAATGCAATATTCCTGCTTCTTGGCAGAATGGGGTTGGACTGGATAAAGGCCCAGGAAGTCTCTTCCAACTCTTTGATTCTATGATTCTATGAAACACAGCAGAAGAGACTTAAAAGGCCAAAAAAGCAAAAAGACTCTACAGCATATGCAGAAAACCACATATACACAAACACAGATATATACACATTTACACTAATATATACATACACATATAGAAACACACAAAACACATATACACAGACTGGGCCATGTGTGGCAGGGGACAGCTTGTGTATGTATATATGTGTGTGTGTGTGTGTGTGTGTGTGTGTGTGTGTGTGTGTGTATATATATATATATATATATATAAAATTTGGGGTAAAAAGATAATCAAGAGGAAAAACAAAAAAAGGGGGGGGGTTATCTTGCTTATACAAGTAAAGTGGGAGAACAATAAAGTGATAGGATAGTACATCTGTTTCTTAATTGGACTCTGGGATATTCTTTCATACAACGAATTAGCCACTGTTGGTTCATTAAATTTCTCTTTTTTTCTTGCCCCCCCCCCCCCTTTGTGTATACTACTTTTTCATTCCCCGTTGTTAGATACTACAGATGAAGATATTGAAGAGGGAAATATTAATGCCACTGAGAAAGCAGCCTTCCAGATTCGACAGTTTCAGGTAAGCTACAGAAAGGTGCTTAGCACTCTGGCCCACCAACGGCCCCCAAGTTAGAAAGTTTGCCCATGCCTGTTCTAGTTACTGCTTTCAGTTGCAAGAAACTATATAAATAAAAACAAAAACGTAATGTTCGTTTGTGGGGTTAACAGAACTCAAAAACCACTGGACGAATTGATACCAAATTTGGACACAAGACACCTAAGAACCCAATGCATGTCCTTCACTCAGAAAAAGTGATTTTGTCATTTGCGAGTTGTAGTTGCTGGATTTATAGTTCACCTACAATCAAAGAGCATTCTGAACCCCACCAATGATGGAATTGAACCAAACTTGGCACACAGAACTCCCATGACCAACAGAAAATATTGTTGGTGGGCAGTGTCCTTTGGTTTTGGAGTTGTAGTTCACCTACATCTAGAGATAGCTATAGATTCAATGATGGATCTGGACCAAACTCTACACGGATACTCAATATGCCCAAATGTGAACACTGGTGGAGTTTGGGGAAAACAGAATCTTGACATTTGGGAGTTGTAGTTGCTGGGATTTATAGTTCACCTACAATCACAGAGCATTCTGAACTCCACCAACGATAGAATTGGGCCAAATCTCCCACATGGAACCCCTATGTGGGCCACAGCAACGCGTGGCAGGGGATGGCTAGTATTACAATATAATGGTATCGTACAATATAGTAATATATAATACTGATATTATACTATGCTAATAATATATTGTATGTATGTATATCTTGTAAGCCGCTTCAGTGTGAGAAGAGTGGCATATAAATGTTGTAAATAAATAAATTGGCAAATTTAAATTGGCCCACCAGAGTGGGCCACAGTAACGTGTGGCGGGTATAGCTAGTACTATTCATAAGAGGGGATTCTGTGACCTTTTCCTCAGAGTATCTCCTGCTTAAAAACCTTCTCTAGAATACTGAGCTAGGAGTTATTCTTACTGTGTTTGTTGCCTTGCAGGTTTCCCCTACTTCTACTTTAGTTTTCTTCTGTGCTCTCTGTTTGTGTTTTCTAAACTCCCATTTTTCCCTGCGTATCAGAGGTCTCTGGTGAACCAGCTCAGCAATGCCGAGGAAGATTTCAGCAGCAAGGAAGCTCTTCTGCTGATCAACATTCTTGCAACCCTTTCCAGACTGTTGGAGCCTTCTTCCCCCCAGGTAGATACTGTTTTTGTATATATGGGGAGCGAAGCTTCAGAGTAAGAGGACCTTTGTAGAGATAGCGAGCGGTCTTGCGCTTTCTCGGCAGGGTGCAAAAAAATATGGGAAAAATAGGTAATCAGGGGCCAGATATCACTTCTGACCTCTGTTCTATGTAACAGAGGTTTTGGGTCCTGTGAAGGGCAGACTGAAGCTCTTTGGAGTAGATCTCTCTTTACTATTGTTTGGCCGCTCAGGTGTAACAGCCTTTAGTTCTATCTATCTATCTATCTATCTATCTATCTATCTATCTATCTATCTAAATGCTCTGTGCATAATGAGTACCTTAAAAACAAAAGAACCAATGAACGAAATCACACCAAATTTGGCAACAAAACGTCTCACTACACAAGGAGTGACCATCACTCAAAAAATTATGATTTTGTCATTTGGGAGTTGTAGTTGCTGGAATTTATAGTGCAGCTACAATCAAAGAGCATTCTGAACTCCACCAGTGATGGAATTGAACTACACTTGGCACACAGAACTCCCATGACCAACAGAAAATACTGGAAGGGTTTGGTGGGCATTGACTTTGAGTTTTGGATTTGTAGTTCACCTCCATCCAGAGAAGATTGTGGACTCAAACAATGATGGATCTGGACCAAATTTGGCATGGATACTCAATATGCCCAAATGTGAACACAGATGGAGTTTGGGGAAAATACACTGTGACATTTAGGAGTTGTAGTTACTAGGATGTATAGTTCACTTACAATAAAAGAGCATTCCAAACCCCACCAACGATGGAATTGGGCCAAACATCCCACACAGAACCCCCATGACCAACAGAAAATACTGTGTTTTCTGGTGGTCTTGGGTGACCCTCCTGACACCCCCTGGTGACTCCCCCCTGGGGTCTTGACTTTCCAGTTCAGAAATGCTGCCTCAAGGCCATCCAGTCCAACTCCCTTCACCATATGACAGATGCAGTATCATAGATTTGAAAGGGACCCCTAAAGAAGGACCATGATATGTTGCATGTTCCAGAGTGCGCAAACCAGACACTCTCCACATCAACACTGACAAAGAAACAGCAAGAAATACTGTTTACTCACAAGCATAAAGGAATTACATATATTAGAAACCAACACTTTCTCATTACTTTATTTTCCAGATCACTAGACTGGGCCACAGCAACGCGTGGCAGGGGACCGCTATTTATATTATTTATTTATTTATTTCTTGCACTTATAGACCGCCACTCTCAGCCCTGAGGCGACTCGTGGCGGTGTACAACAACATAGAAAAGACGGCTTACAATAAATCAACAATACACAACATTCTACTACTACATAACACTACTATACTAAAAATCCGCTTCGTCACTACTATACTAAAAATCCGCTAGTCTCATATATCGGCTGTTAGGAATTGTAGGAGCTGAAGTCCAAAACACCTGGAGGGAGGGTTGAAGTTTGCTCATGCCTGTCATATACTCCTTGTTTCATTTATTGACATCTAATGCAACAAAGGAGCCCCCAGTGGTGCAGCAGGTTAAGTCGCTGAGCTTCTAAACTTGCTACCCAAAAAGGTTGGCAGTTCAAATCCAGGGAGTGGGGTGAGCATCTGCTGTTAGGCCCAGCTTCTGCAACCTAGCAGCACAGAAACTGTATCTATTGATCTCCTCACATTTGCATGTTTTCAAACTGCTAGGTTGGCAGAAGCTGGGCCTAACAGCAGATGCTCACCCCACTTCCTGGATTTGAACTGCCAACCTTTTTGGGCAGCAAGTTTAGAAGCTCAGCGACTTAACCCGCTGCGCCACTGGGGGCTCCTTTGTTGCATTTAGATGCCAATAAATGAAACAAAGAGTGGGAAGGTAACGGCGCTCCATGCACTCATGTTGACCACATGACCTTGGAGGTGTCTACGGACAATGCCAGCTGTTTGGCTAAGAAATGAGGATGAGTACTGCCCCGCAGACTAGACTTAATGTCAAGGGAAAACCTTTACCTTTACTTAATGCAAGAAACTTGCTTTCGAATGTGACCTTGGGGTTGTCAATCACAGAGCGTGCTACAGCTTCAGCCACAAGGCTCGAAGCATGGAGGAGGCCGCAGTGGCGATTGTAACAAACCATTATCATAACCACCGCCTTTGATGAAATAGACTGCTCATAAGCCACTCTGGGAACTTTGTCAGCTGAAGGGACCAAAACAAATGATCAAAATTAATGAGATGTCATTCTCTCCTTGTGCAGTTTGTGCAGCTGTTGTCTTGGACAGTCAAGATTTGCAAGGAGACCGGCCTGGGTAAGAGTTTTGGTTAGGTTGAAACTGAATCACCATACATTGTGTCTTGAAAATCCCAGAGCAAGGGGAACCTAATGAAATGTTAGCATTGAGGTTCACAAAAAGAGTTGACCTACAAAACCCTATATGGTTCCGGCCCATCACAAGTGAGATTGGCGGGGATGAGGAGCAGGGCCTTCTCAGTGGTGGCCCCTCACCTATGGAATTCACTCCCCGGGGAGATTAGATCAGCAACATCCCTCCTTTCCTTTAGAAGGAAATTAAAAACATGGATTTGGGACCAGGCGTTTGGGCAATCTGGCAGATAAATAAATAAAGGACTACGATGATGGATAGGAATAGACAATGGGGAACGAAGTATGGACTCTGAGCTGGAGAACGCTGTGCATGAGATTGGCTTATTGACTGTGTTATATATTGATGTTTTAATTGTTATAACTGTTTATTGTTTTTATACGTTTATTGTATTATTGTGTAGGCATCGAATTGTGCCTTTTTGTAAGCCGCCCTGAGTCCCCCCTCGGGGGTTGAGAAGGTCGGAGTAGAAGTATACGAAATAAATAAATAAATACTCGAGTATAAGCCAACCCGAATATAAGCCGAGGCACCTAATTTTACCACAAAAAAAAAAAACTGGCAAATCGTATTGACTTGAGTATAAGCCAAGGGTGGGAAATTTCTACTGGTCATTTTCAAAATAAAAATAGATACCAATAAAATTACATTAATTGAGGCATCAGCAGGTTAAATGTTTTTGAATATTTACATAAAAGTGTAATTTAAAATAAGACTGTCCAACTCTGATTAAACCATTATTCTAATCTTCAGTGTGAATCTGCTTACGTATCCTTCCAGTAATAATAAAGAGATTGAAATAGTAAATGTAATAATAATAATAATAATAATAATAATAATAAAGTAAAATAATGGAAATGTAATAATAACAATAATAATAGAGTAAAATAATAAATGTAATAATAACAGTTATAATGGAGTAAAATAATAAATGTAATAATAACAACAATAATAAAGTAAAATAATAAATGTAATGACAATAATGTGTGTGTGTGTGTGTCAGGAGTAACTTGAGAAACTGCAAGTCGCTTCTGGTGTGAGAGAATGGGCCGTCTGCAATGACGTTGCCCAGGGGACACCCGGATGTTTTGATGTTTTACCATCCTTATGGGAGACTTCTCTCATGACCCCGCATGGGGAGCTGGAGCTGACAGAGGGAGCTCATCCGCACTCTCCCCGGATTCGAACCTGTGACCTATCGGTCTTCAGTCCTGCGGCACAAGGGTTTAACCCATTGCGCCACTGGGGCCTCCTATAACAATAATAAATAGAGTAAAATTAAGGTTATTTATTATTTTCCTCTATTATTATATTTTTAATTTTACTTTATAACAATAACAAATAGAGTAAAATTAAAAATATTATAATAATAGAGGAAAATAATAAATGTAATAATAATAATAATAATAATAATAATAATAATAATGACAGAGTAAAATAATAAATAACCTTGATGCTAGTATAAGCTGGGGGGGGGGGGGTAAATAATACGGTAAATAATACGGTAAATAATTTGGTGGAGGAAAAATCCTGCCAGCCAGGAGTTTGTTTGGGTCACTGATCACCTTGCTTCTGCATACACTGCAGTTTTGCGGTTAACTTTGGCTAGTATTATGCCTGAGACATTGTTGGGGAATTGGATTGAGGTCTGGACTAGAATTCAGAGACTAGCCAAGTCAGAAACAGATTGAAGATATATAACAACAACAAAGTCTTACGTTTGACCGGTGTTTGTTCTGTCTGCTGCCATGTAGTTTGCCACCACCGTTAGCACTATGTTTGCAAACTCACTAATGAAATCGCCAGTGCAGATATAACTCTCACCATCCAAAGCATGGTTAGATTATCTTTTCCCTTCACTTCTTTCCATTTAGGGTGAAATTATGACTTATTTATTTATTTATTTATCGTGTCAGTTCAACCAGTCGATTATATTGCATTTCTAACAGAACAAAGCAAAACAAAAACAGAAAAATACAAAATTTGCGAGCTTGGCAGTTGATTAAATGTCCTTTGACCAGTATCTGGCCACTTGGAGTGCCTCTGGTGTTGCTGCAAGAAGGTCCTCCATGGTGCACATGGCAGGGCTCAGGGTGCATTGCAGCAGGTGGTCAGTGGTGTGCTTTTCTCCACACTCGCATGTCGAGGATTCCACTTTGTAGCCCCATTTCTGAAGGTTGGCTCTGCATCTTGTGGTGCCAGAGCGCAGTCTGTTCAGTGCCTTCCAAGTCGCCCAGTCCTCTGTGTGCCCAGGGGGGAGTCTCTCATTTGGTATCAGCCATGGATTGAGGTTCTGGGTTTGAGCCTGCCACTTTTGGACTCTCGCTTGCTGGGGTGTTCCAGCGAGTGTCTCTGTAGATCTTAGAAAACTATTTCTTGATTTAAGTCGTTGACGTGCTGGCTGATACCCAAACAAGGGATGGGCTGGAGATGTCACTGCCTTGGTCCTTTCACTATTGGCTGCTACTTCCCAGCGGATGTCAGGTGGTGCAATACCAGCTAAGCAGTGTAATTTCCCCAGTGGTGTAGGGCGCAGACACCCCGTGATAATGCGGCATGTCTCATTAAGAGCCACATCCACTGTTTTAGCGTGGTGAGATGTGTTCCACACTGGGCATGCATACTCAGCAGCAGAGTAGCATAGCGCAAGGGCAGCTGTCTTCACTGTGTCTGGTTGTGATCCCCAGGTTGTGCCAGTCAGCTTTCGTATGATATTGTTTCTAGCACCCACTTTTTGCTTGATGTTCAGGCAGTGCTTCTTGTAGGTCAGAGCACGGTCCAGAGTGACTCCCAGGTATTTGGGTGCGCTGCAATGCTCCAGTGGGATTCCTTCCCAGGTAATCCTCAGAGCTCAGGATGCTTGTCTGTTCTTGAGATGAAAAGCACATGTCTGTGTTTTAGATGGATTAGGGATCAGCTGGTTTTCCCTGTAATAGGCAGTAAGAGCACCTAGAGCTTCTGTTCAACCATCTCAAAGCTCCCTGCTTGAGCGGTAATGGCACGATCATCAGCATAGATGAAACTCTCTGTCCCTTCTGGCAGTGGCTGGTCATTTGTGTAGATGTTGAACATGGATGGAGCAAGCACGCTCCCCTGAGGCAGGCCGTTCTTCTGTTTCCGCCATCTGCTTCTCTGGCCCTGGAACTCAACAAAAAAGCTCCTGTTTTGTAGCAGGTTATGACTAAGAGCAAAACTATTGTTTTCTCTCTCCGCAGAAGATGCCCCTTGCTGCAAGGGTTTGTTGGCTCTGCTCTTCAGTCTGCACACTTTCGTCAAAAGTCCCGTCACCATCCTGCGGGACATTGCCCAGGACATCCACGCCCAACTTGGGGACATAGACCAGGTGAATAGACAAGTCAGTGTTTTCCAGATGGCGGACACAGTGGTGTGTCAGAGAGAACCAGTACAGTGAAAGGGCTGGAGGACTGGGCTGAGACCAGGGTGGTCAGCCTGCAGCTAAGCTACATAGCTGACTGTGTCCTGGACTGAAGATCTCTAGGATGGAATCCATCACAAGGAAGCTTGGAATACTTATTTCTTTATTATCCAGATCAATACAGGGTGGAGAGAAAGTTATTTCTGTGCTTTATGCATGAAAAGCATTGCACCGGGACTGTGGCACAGCTGGCTGGGAGTCAGCTGCATTAAGGTCACTACTGACCGAAAGGTCATGAATTCAAAGCCAGGCTGGGCCGGAGTGAGTTTCTGACCAATTTGTGTAGCTTGTTGTCGACCTTTGCAGCCCAAAAGACAGTTGCATCAGTCAAGTAGGAAATTTAGGTACCACTTATGCAAGGAGGCTAATTTAAGTAATTTGCAAGGCCATAAAAATCTCCAGCAAGCATGCAAAGAATGAGGAAGTACTTCATCACTGTCACAAACGGACAGTGAAGCAACAGCTCCCCTGGTGGCCAGAATACCCTCATCAAAAGCTGGAAAGTTAAATAGCCTCTGAGTGTCTGTCTGTATATGTTGTGTGTCTATGGCATTGAATGTTTGCCATGTATATGTACATTGTAATCCGCCCTGAGTCCCCTGCGGGGTGAGAAGGGCAGAATATAAACATTGTAATTAAATAATATTATCCTCTGGCAAAACCCCCTCCTTTTTGCCCCCCTCCCTTTTGCCTACTTTGTTTCCTGATTCCCAGGCCCTAATCCCAACTTTCGTTCTATTGGATTTCAATGGCTTCTCTGTGTAGTCTGACATGGTAGTTGTTAGAGTGGTCCAGCCTTTTTGTCAGACTCCACAGAGAAGCCATTGAGATCCACAAGAAATGTGGACAATTTCAACAGAAAGGAGGAAACCGTGAAAAGGAACAAAATCTGGCTACCAGTATTTTAAAAAAACCTCTAAAATCAGGACAGTAAATAAAGAATAATACTCAAAAAACAGGGGAATGCCAGGCAAGAATCAATCATGGCCAGGTAACACCTCCCAACAAAGGCAGCAACTACCCAGGCTTTGAAGCTGCAAGGCCATTCGATGCTAACCAGGGTGGCCAATTGCAACCTTCACACCTGTCTCAAGCAGACAAGTGTTGTTTCTCCCACCCTGGACGTTCCAAAGATACATAAACCTCACTTGCCTAGTTTTCAACAGACCTCACAACCTCCGAGTATGCCTGCCATAAATGTGGATGAAACGTCAGGAGAAAATGCTTTTGGAACATGGCCATACAGCCTGGAAAACTCACCGCAACCCAGCGATTCCGGCCACGAAAGCCTTCAACAACACAATAATAATAATCATAACAACAAAAATAACAATAATATGCAAAACATTCACTGAAAGGGAGCCCTATTATTATTATTATTATTATTATTATTATTATTATTAGTAGTAGTAGTAGTAGTAGTAGTTGTAGTAGTACTGTTACTATACCATACAGCTTGGAAAACTCACAGCAACCCATTACATTATTATTATTATTATTATTATTATTATTATTATTATTATTATTATTATGAAAGCCTTGGACAACACAGTCTGATTGTTATGGCTTTGGGTCTTTTCTCAGCCTTGAATAACAACAGATGGTTCCTAGCTTATATCCCTGCTGTAAATTTCCATCAGTGGCATGGATTCCTCTGAAATCATTCCTTTGAAGGTTCAGAGGAGGTCATGACAGACTGGGTGACATTGGACCGGCCGCACTAATCCTCAAAGCATGGCTGGCAAAAAAATATATGGATCTGAAATAATAGGAATGAGAATGTCTATTACTATCTTTTCCTTTTTCATCCTTCTAGGAACTTGAGATAGAGCACCAGGCCCACTTTGCTCTTGTGAATTCGAAGACAGCAGTTCCCACGGCCTGCGTGAGTTGGATTGTGTGGAAAAAATGGGAATCACATGCGATGAAGGACGATTTTATATAAACATGTGAAAGCCTGTGCTGGGTGGGGTTACACTCCCCTTGAAGACGCAGATTTGTAGCTTGGGAGTCCTCCTGGACTCATTGCTGAGCCTCAAACCTCAGGTTGCATCGTTGGCTAAGGGGGTTTTGCACAACTAAAACTTGTGTACCAGTTGCGCCCATACCTTGGGAAGTCAGATTTGGCCACGTTGGATAGACTACTGCAGTGCACTTTATGTGGGATTGCCTTTGAAGACTGTTCGGAAGCTTCAAATAGTCCAATGAGAGGCTAATAACTGGGGCAGCATACAGGGAGCACACAACTCCTATGTTACGTCACCTCCCCTAGCAGCCTGTTTGTTACCGGGCACAATTCAAAGTGCTGGCTTTGGCCTATAAAGCCTTAAACATCCTCAGCCCAGTTTACCTGTCCGAATGCATCTCCCTTTGTGAACCACCATGAAGACTAAGATCTTCTGGGGATGCCCTGCTCTTGGTCCCACCACCATCACAGGCACTTTTGGTGAGGATGAGAAACAGGGCCTTCTTAGTGATTGCCCCTCGGTTATGGAACTCCCTTCCTGGCAATATTAGATCATCCCCTGCCCTACTATCCTTCAGAAGGATGGTGAGGACTTGGCTGTGGGACCAAGCCTTGGGGCAGTGCAGTGAGGCAAAATGTTGTCCTAAGATGGTTTTTAAGCAACTGATTTTAAAGTGGTTATCAGTGATTTCAATGTTTGTTTATATTTATGGTTTTATGACCCGGCATTGAATGTTTACCGTATATATGTTGTGCTCCGCCCTGAGTCCCCTTCAGGGTGAGAAGGGCGGAATATAAATGTATTTATTTATTTATTTATTTACAACATTTATAGCCCACCTTTCTCAACCATGCGGTGACTCAAGGCGGGTTACAGATTGGCACGATTCGATGCCATACATTCATAAAAGTGCGATTAAAAACAGTCAACATAATGATATAAAAACATCATTAAAACATGTAGCCACCTAGGTCATCTCGTTAAAATAGTTTTCCAGTAACATCGTCTGGTCTTTCCATGTTCATCATTCATAGTTTCATGTTATCTATTCTGCTGCATTCTCAAAAGTTTTTACCTTTTTTTCAGAAAGTCAGGAGGGAGTGGGACAATCTAATATCCCTGGGGAGGGAGTTCTCTAGCTGGGGGGCCACCACTGAGAAGGCCCTGTCCCTCGTCCCAGCTAATCACGCTTGCAATGCAGGTGGGATTGAGAGCAGGGCCTCCTCAGACGATCTTAAGCTCCTAAATGGTTCATAAGGAGAGATACGTTTAGACAGGTTAGCTGGGCTGGAACTGTTGAAGGCTTTATAGGCTAAAGCCAGCACTTTTTTCAACAGCCGGGGGGCCACCGCTGAGAAGGCCCTGTCTCTCGTTCCCACCAATCGGATATGCGAAGAAGGTGGGACCGAGAGCAGGGCCTCCCCAGACGATCTGAAGCATCTAAATGGTTCATAGGGAGAGATGCGTTCGGACAGGTAAACTGGGCCAGAACCGTTTAAGGCTTTATAAGCTGAAGCCAGCACTTTGAATTGTGCCCAGTAGCAGACTGGCATCCAGTAGAGCTGACGCAACAGAGGAGTAGTGTGCTCCCTGAACACCATCCCTGTTAGTAACCTGGCTGCTGCCTGTTGGACCATTTGAAGTTTCCGAACAGTCTTCAAAGGCAACTCCACGTAGAGCGCATTGCAGTAGTCTATACGGGATGTAACCAGAGCATGGACCACTGTAAATAAATAAATAATTTTGCTCTCGGAAAGAGCAATGCGCAGAAAGCATTCCGCTTTCTGCTTCAAACATCTTGTGCTTTCTCTCTTTCATAGTTGCTGAGCTTGGGTCAAGCAGATAAGGTCCTAGAGGAAGTGGATTGGTTGGTAAGCAAAATGAAGAACCATTTGGGACTGGAGGCAGCAGGTGAGCATTAAAATGGAACGCTTGCCCTATAATCGTTCTCTGCTGTGGGGAAATAGAACTGATCACGAATTGGTTTCAGAATCTGCCTTCCGTGGGCGCACATCTCCATTGGTAGAAGGTTCTTCTATTCTTTGCCCATCAGAGTTGCAGTGCAAAGTACAGAATGGGAGACACGTGGCTTGAGAGCAGTACGTGTGAAAAAGATCTTGGAGTCCTTGTGGACAACAAGTTAAGTATGAGCCAACAATGATGTGGTGGCAAAAAAAGCCAATGGGATTTTGGCCTGTATCAATAGGAGCATAGTGTCTAGATCCAGGGAAGCCATGCTACCCCTCTATTCCACCTTGATCAGACCACTCCTGGAATATTGTGTCCAATTCTGGGCACCACAATTCAAGAGAGATATTGACAAGCTGGAATGTGTCCAGAGGAGGGCGACTAAAATGGTCAAGGGTCTGGAGAACAAGCCCTATGAGGAGCGGCTTAAGGAGCTGGGCATGTTTAGCCTGAAGAAGAGAAGGCTGAGAGGAGATATGATAGCCATGTATAAATATGTGAGAGGAAGCCACAGGGAGGAGGGAGCAAGCTTGTTTTCTGCTTCCCTGGAGACTAGGACGCAATGGAGCAATGGCTTCAAACTACAAGAGAGGAGATTCCATCTGAACATGAGGAAGAACTTCCTGACTGTGAGAGCCGTTCAGCAGTGGAACTCTCTGCCCCGGAGTGTGGTGGAGGCTCCTTCTTTGGAAGCTTTTAAACAGAGGCTGGATGGCCATCTGTCAGGGGTGATTTGAATGCAATATTCCTGCTTCTTGGCAGAATGGGGTTGGACTAGATGGCCCAGGAGGTCTCCCAACTCTAGGATTCTATGAATTTCCTCTCTTTGTAGCATTTCTAGGAATCATGCCTTTCTTTACTGCAAGCCAAAAATTTGGGTTCCAACCTCATCTAAAACAAGCTTATTTGGGAAAAGCATATTGACTATCACAACAGAAAATCTTTAGATCAACCTGTTCTGTAGAACCTTGTAGTTGGGCCTGTGATGGATTTCATAGCTGTAGCCAGGCCCATAGCGAGGGGGGGGGGTTAGGGGTTCAACCCCCCCCCCCCGAAATGTTTCAGATTTTTTTAAAAAAAAAACCTGGTTTACTCATGAATTTTAACTGGTTAACCCAATCCCCATGCTAAGTCTATGAGATGCAAAAAATCAAGAGTCCCTCCAGAACTGCAAGCACTATCTCAAGCAATTTATTCACACTGTCATTACTTGCAGCAATAGCCGATGTAGTTGTTCTGGTACAGCTGTACCAGGAGCTCCAATTTTATTTGTTTTGTATTAAATGTTTGCTTGCAGTCCTAGGTTTCAGGGACGCTGCAGATAGGTGGCTTCTTTGGTTGCAGTCATAGGGCAAGTCACCTGTCCATCATTGTTAAGTTTTGGTCCCTCACCTTGCTCAGGGCAATTGGGAAGGGAAGGGAGCCATTTTTAGTTAGTCTCAGCAAGGAAAGCTTATGTATAGGATGTGTGCAAGCTTCCCCTGTACAAAAGCTTCAACCCTTAAGACCTTCCAGGGGAGAAAAGTCTTAAGAGTCTCCAAAGAATTTCCAGGAAAACAGCCCTAAAGACCAAAGAACTCCAGCTGGAGAACATCTACTGCCTTGCTGGTAGGTCCACTCGGCGTTCGAGATGCAGTTCGACCCGGTAGCGGAGCCCACATCAGTAAGGGTTAGATTACAGTCAGCCTGGGAGAAGTTAAAAAGGGGATTTTCCTTTAAAGAAGAAGTTATTGAAGACAGTTGCCTGTCCTTCGTGGGCAAGATTAGGAATTCACCAGTTGCCTAAAAGCTTGGAATCATTTGCTTAACTTTACTGAAGACAAGAGAAGTTTCTGTTTGATTGTTCATTAATAAAAGACTTTGTTGTACTTCTCAAGCCATCTAAAGACTGTTTGTGGTGGAAACCTCTGAGAACTTCTCTTTAGCCCCCTGGCTTCCCGCTGGGCAAAGGTTGCACATCCTGTTCTAAAGACAATTATTTACAGGCCCAGCACGTGACAGAACAGTAGTGAAGCAACCAAGTTGGGGGGGGGGGGTGTTGAATGCTCTCATTAAGGAGGCCAGACTTGGTGGAGGTGGTTGACAAGGGCGGAGCTGCAGGCTATTGAAGGCTGCTCTGCCCCCTGCTGTGCTCTTTGCTTCAGCGTGAGCTAGGAGGCAGGTTTCAACCCCCCCCCCCCCCCCCCCCCCGAAAATTTCAACCCCTCCCAAAAAAATTTTCTGGCTACGGCCCTGGCTGTAGCTATACAATATAGTCACAGTGTGGTGGGCTGAGAGCACTCTTATCCTTGTGGGCAGATCAAGAAAAAGATTGGTGAGGCTTTAGGACAGGTTTGTGAAGCTTTAGGAGAAACCTGGTTTGGAGAAGAAGGCAGCTTCATCCACAACATGCTTCATACCCATTCTTAGGTCTTCAGGAGCTAGATCTGTCTTGAGTTTACTTCTGTTTTGCAGGAAATGCTTCTCAGGCAACAACAAACCAGCCACTCGAAAAGGCCGTCGTCCTTCAGCTCGGCACTCTGCTGACCGCTTACCATGAGCTGCTGCAAACGGCCTTGCCCACGGGGAGCTGCGTGGACACCTTGCTCAGGAGCGTCAGCAAGATGTACACTACTCTCACCGCCCTTGTCAAATACGTGAGCATTCCTGACCCTCAGATGGCACAATCTTACATTTTCCCTTAGAGTATGTCAGCCTGAATACACAAAAGCTGGCCATGGGCTCCTTTTAACCTGGGAATAGATTGGACCCATGTTTGTTTATTTCTAAACTGTATATTATTGTTGTTTTAAACTGTTTATTTCGTGATGTTTTATACTTATCATTAATGTATTTGGATTGTTGTTTACATGATTTTAATATGCTGTAAGCCACTTTAGATCCCGTGAGAGAGAAAAGAGGGATATAATAATAATAATAATAATAATAATAATAATAATTATTATTATTATTATTATTATTATTATTATTTTACTGACACAAAAACACAATATGTCACAGCAAACGAGACCTCTATGGTGGATTTCGTACCACAAAATCACAAGTCGAACACTTCCCAAGCGCCTAGGACTGTGTGATGTATTTTCAAATGATGCGCACAGATCCAAGTACGGTGGCCTTTTGCAGTTGACAAATCGTGATTTTGTCAATGTTTGTTTTTTCAAATGCCAGCTGAGATATTTTGGCACGGCACCCAGTGCGCTGATGACCACTGGGACCACCTATACTGGTTTATGCCATCAGAGCCTTTGCAGTTCGATTTTGAGGTCTTGATAATGGCTGAGTTTTTCCTGTTGTTTTTCCTCAATGCGACTGTCAGCTGGTATGGCAACATCAATAATCCAAACTTTTTCCTTTTCCACAATTGTGATGCCTGGCGTATTGTGTTCCAAAACATTGTCAGTCTGGATTCAAAAGTCCCACAGTATTTTTGCGTGTTCATTTTCCTATTATTATTATTATTATTATTATTATTATTATTATTATTCATTCTCTGCTATCTAGTAGAGAGTCCCTGGTGGCGCAGTGGGTTAAAGCACTGAGCTTGTTGACCGAAAGGTCACAGGTTCGAGTCCAGGGAGCAGCGTGAGCTTCTGCTGTCAGCCCCAGCTTCTGCCAACCTAGCAGTTCAAAAACATGCAAATGCGAGTAGATCAATAGGTACCGCTCCGGTGGAAAGGTAACGGCACTCCATGCAGTCATGCTGGCCACATGACCTTGGAGGTGTCTACGGATAACACCGGCTCTTCGGCTTAGAAATGGAGATGAGCACCATACCCCAGAGTCGGACGTGACTGGACTTCATGTCAGGGAAAAACCTATACCTTTTACTATGTGGTACATAGACCTATTTGCATGTGTTCTGTTGCAGCAATCAATCATAATCCTAAATATTGTATTCTTAGTGATTCTAAAGCAGGCATGGGCAAACTTTGGCCCTCTTCCAGGTGTTTTGGACTTCAAATCCCACAATTACTAGCAGCCCATGTCAGTTCTAAAGATTCATTAAAAATCAGGGAGAAAATGTCATTGTCGAAGGCTTTCATGGTTGGAATCACTAGGTTCTTGTAGGTTTTTTCGGGCTATAGGGCCATGTTCTAGAGGCATTTCTCCTGACGTTTCGCCTGCATCTATGGCAAGCATCCTCAGAGGTAGTGGATCTGAGGATGCTTGCCACAGATGCAGGTGAAACGTCAGGAGAAATGCCTATAGAACATGGCCCTATAGCCCGAAAAAACCTACAAGAACCTAATCAGGGAGAAAGCTGGCCACTTTAGCCTACCTGGGTAGATAATTCCAGGTGGGGATTGCTTCCTCCTCAATATCATATTTATTTATTTTGTATCAAAAGCATTGCATAAATTAGTATAAACCTGATAAAATAGAAGGTATGCAGGCGGCTAAATATTTTTTGACCAAAAACGGGCAACAGCAACAGCATTGTCTGTAGCCCCCAACAATTCCTCCTCTGTACATGAGGCAGGGCACAATGGACAAGCATAGAGATACAGAGCTGTCTGTTCTGCTCCACAGTCACACAAAGTATGGGATTCTTTTAGGTAGTGCTGTTTTGCCGTTTAAATATCATATAAAAATGGTCCTGAAGGCGGGGTCTAGTCTGGGGTCACACACATGGTGGCATTGGCCATTCAGTAGCTCACACACCATATTCTCTTGCATTACTCTCCTAGTATCTCCAGGTGTGTCGGAGCACAACGGCAGGGATCCCAGGACGGTTTGAAAAGCTGGTGAGTGTTATATATTATAATGTAACTCGGTGCCTAATAAATGTGTATCTTTTTGTCATCACTATGGAAGGTGGTGCAATTGGTGGCGCAGCGGGTTAAATCACCAAGCTGCTGAACTTGCTGACCAAACGGTCGGTGGTTTGAAACCAGGAAGTGGGGTGAGCTCCTGCTGTTAGTCCCAGCTTCTGCTGACCTAGCAGTTTGAAAATATGCAAATGTGAGTAGATCAGGAAGGTAATGGCGCTCCATCCTGACTGAATAATCTTGACTGAATCAATTCTCTCTGTGACATTCTGAAGCCAGCTGAGGGTGCTGGAAGCCTTGTATGGGAACTTGTGAAGCAACAAGTCCTAATAAGGAAACTGAGAAGAGGGGAGATGGGCAGGAAAGGTGTATAAAAGGAAGTGGTGGTGGGAAAAAAGTCAGTAGTGTCTTTCTTTGCTGCAGAGATATAAGCAATATATCCATTTCAAAGCAAGCCGGCTTGTGAGTGGTTATTTACTGTTGCTATATAACTTATCCTCAGGGGAAGAAGGCGGGGTATAAATATAGGAAATAAATAAATATAGATCCTACAGTCTGACACTTAGAGGTGTCGATGGATAACGCTGGCTCTTTGGCTTAGAAATGGAGGTGAGCACCACCTCCCATAGTCGGGCACGACTAGACTTAATGTCGGGGGAAACCTTTACCTTACGGAAGGAAGGGAATTCTCTGGACAACAGTAACATCCTTTGTTCTGCAGGTCAGACTCTCTGGTTCCCACTTGACCCCCCAGTGTTATGCCTTCATCACTTATGTTCAGGTAAGATGAATAATAATAATAATTGTTGTTGTTGTTGTTCATTCGTTCAGTTGTCTCCGACTCTTCGTGACCTCATGGACCAGCCCACGCCAGAGCTCCCTGTCGGCCGTCACCACCCCCAGCTCCTTCAAGGTCAGTCCAGTCACTTCAAGGATGCCATCCATCCATCTTGCCCTTGGTCGGCCCCTCTTCCTTTTGCCTTCCACTTTCCCCAGCATCATTCCCTTCTCCAGGCTTTCCTGTCTCCTCATGATGTGGCCAAAGGACTTCATCTTGGCCTCTAGTCTCCTTCCCTCCAGTGAGCAGTCGGGCTTTATTTCCTGGAGGATGGACTGGTTGGATCTTCTCGCAGTCCAAGGCACTCTCAGCACTTTCCTCCAACACCACAGCTCAAAAGCATCTCTCTTCCCTCGCTCAGCCTTCCCTAAGGTCCAGCTCTCACATCCGTAGGTGACTACAGGGAATACCATGGCTTTGACTAGGCGGATCTTTGTTGCCAGTCTGATGTCTCTACTCTTCACTATTTTATCGAGACTGGACATTGCTCTCCTCCCAAGAAGGAAGCGTCTCCTGATTTCCTGGCCACAGTCTGCATCTGCAGTAATCTTTGCACCTAGAAATACAAAGTCTGTCACGGCCTCCACGGTTTCTCCCTCTATTTTCCAGTTGTCAATCATTCTTGTTGCCATAATCTTGGTTTTTTTTGACGTTTAGCTGCAACCCGGCTTTTGCGCTTTCTTCTTTCACCTTGATTAGAAGGCTCCTCAGCTCCTCCTTTATTTATACCCCACTACCATCCTTTATTTATACCCCGCTACCATCTCCCCCAGTGGTGCAGTGGGTTAAAGCACTGAGCTGCTGAGCTTGTTGATCGAAAGGTCGCAGGTTCGATTCCGGGGAGCGGCGTGAGCTTCTGCTGTCAGCCCTAGCTTCTGCCAACCTAGCAGTTCGAAAACATGCAAATGTGAGTAGATCAATAGGTACCGCTCCGGCGGGAAGGTAACGGCGCTCCATGCAGTCATGCCAGGCCACATGACCTTGGAGGTGTCTATGGACAACGCTGGCTCTTCGGCTTAGAAATGGAGATGAGCACCACACCCCAGAGTCAGACATGACTGGACTTAATGTCAGGGGACTACCTTTACCTTTTACCTTACCATCTCCCAGAGGACTCGGTGCGGCTTACAAGAGGTCGAGCCCAAATACATCAGTAAAAACAACAACAATACAACAAAATGAACTCAAAAACAAAATAAACATTAACAAACACCACGACACATTAAAATCTACAGCAGGACCAAATGTTACAATTAAAATTAAAAAATGTGCTGGGCATGACCAGGTGAAAAGGTATTTGGAGGGGGATGGGCATGCAGATATCCTGGTTCTCTAGTAAAGTACATTTGGGGACATAATGCATGGAATTTCCTTATTCTGGGAAGACACACTGGAACAACCACGTTTTCAAGCTCCTCCTAAAAATTGCCAGCATTGGGGCCTGTATGATGTCCTTAGGGAGAGAGTTCCAGAGTCGAGGGGCCACCACCGAGAAGGCTCTGTCCCTCGTCCCCACCAATTGCGCTTGCGATGCAGGTGGGATCACGAGCAAGGCCTCTCCAGATGATCGAAGAGATCGTGTGGGTTCGTAAACAGAGATGCGGTCATGAACTGAATTTCTGATTTCCCGAATATTTATCAACAGGGCATGGAGGCAAGGGATGCTGAAGCTAACAGTGGGATATACAGGCCAAATGCTGAACCTTCTTCAATTGTGGTTTGGGGCAAAAATAGAATCACAGAGTTGGAAGGGACCCCCAAAGGCCATCCAGTCCAGCCTAGCCTCCTGTCTTTCAAGGAACGCACAAAGCCATTCACCTCTGCACAGTTTCCTATACCTTCTATATCAGTAGTTCTCAACCTTCCTAATGCCATGACCCCTTAATCCAGTTCCTCATGTTGTGGTGACCCCTAACCATAACATTATTTTCGTTGCTACTTCACAATTGTAATTTTGCTACTGGTATGAATTGCAATGTAAATATTTGATATGCAGGATGTATTTTCATTCACTGGACCAAATTTGGCAAAAATATCCAAATCACCCAAATTCGAATACTGGTGGGATTAGGAGGGGTTGATTTTGTCATTTGGGAGTTGTAGTTGCTGAGATTTATAGTTCACCTACAATCAAAAAACATCCCGAACTCCACCAATGATAGAATTGAACCAAACTTAGCACACAAAACTCCAAAGAGCAACAGAAAATACTGGAAGGGTTAGGTGGGCATTCTGAAGGAGCCCTTAAATTACTGCTACTAATTGTAAAGGCTTGGCCACTAATTTGTAATGGTGCCACCAAATTGCAAGGATGTATAAATATAACTACTATCAATATGTAGAGAGTTGGTAAAAGAAGCCACCTCTTTGTGAGGGCTTATTAAATTGATGACACAACCAATAGCTTGTAATGTTGCTTTGGTCTTTCTTCAATATGTAGCGTGACTTGACTTGGAAAGGAATGGCAACATAGGCTTGACTTTAAAAAGAAACTGTAACAAGTTTATTGAGGTACAGAAGCTTGATGGTTTCAAAGTTTCCTTTCTCTTAGAGGTACAGATCTTCAAAGGTTACATTCAAAACAGTTCTTAAATAACTCTTAGGAGGTCTAATTCTACTAACAAACAGGTCTCAAACTTAGTTCCTTTAAAAAAGATGTTAATTTCTTTGTTTGAGGCACACGCTTATTGTATTGTCGAAGGCTTTCAGGGCCGGGATCACTGGGTTGTTGTAGGTTTTTCCGGGCTATATGGCCATGTTCTGGAGGCATTCTCTCTTGACGTTTCGCCTGCACTATGGCAAGCATCCTCAGAGGTAGTGAGGTGTGTTGGAACTAGGAAAAAGGGTTTATATATCTGTGGAATGACCAGGGTGGGACAAAGGACTCTTGTCTGCTGGAGCTAGTTGTGAATGTTTCAACTGACCACCTTGGGTTTTGTTGAGAGGTGTGAAGATGTGCCTGGTTGTTTCCTCTCTGCTGTTTTGCTGTTGTAATTTTAGAGTTTTTTAATACTGGTAGCCAGATTTTGTTCATTTTCATGGTCTCCTCCTTTCTGTTGAAATTGTCCACATGCTTGTGGATTTCAATGGCTTCTCTGTGTAGTCTGACATGGTGGTTGTGAGAGTGGTCCATAAACCCATTTTTCCTACTTCCAACAGACCTCACTACCTCTGAGGATGCTTGCCATAGATGCAGGCGAAACGTCAGGAGAAAAATTGCCTCCAGAACATGGCCATGTAGCCCGGAAAAACCTACAACAACCCACACGCTTATTCTTTCTTTATGATGGTTCTGTTACAATAAAGATGCTTATTAGGGCTTCCCCTCTTTTTCCACAACCATTACTTTTAATATAAATAAGTCACTTGACTTATCTAAACTATATTGGCTCAAAGCCAAAACCTTCTTGATTCTTAATACCAAAGAATCAGCCTTCCCCTGTAGTTCTTTGACTACAGAATCCTCACTGGTTCTCCACACACGACAGAACCAGCCACCTCTGCAGTTCACCGACCACAGACTGACTGCTTTAAAATGGCTGCTCTGCCAAGTGGCAGTTGGCTCCGCCCCTATCTCCATAGCAACCCAGCTCAAAGCGAGCTAAGCTGGCTACCATCCCCCAATATTATGCAACATTATATACTTACCCTTACAAACACCTATCTATAACAATACATAACTGTAGATAAAAATTTACACTTCATCACAGGCATTGACCTTGAGCTTGGGAGTTGTAGTTCAACTACATCTAGATAGCATTGTGGACTTAAACAGTGGTGGATCTGGACCAAATTTGGCATGGATACTCAGTATGCCCAAATGTGAACAGTAGTGGAGTTTGGGGAAAACAGACCTTGAGATTTGGGTAGTTGCTGGGATTTGTAGTTCACCTACAATCAAAGAGCGCTCTGAACCCCACCAACGATAGAATTGGGCCAAACTTCCTACACAGAACCCCCATAACGAACAGAAAGTACAGTGTTTTCGATGGTCTTTGGTGACCCCTCTGAAACCTCCTCACGACCCCCCCCCCCGGGGTCCCGACCCCCCAGGTTGAGAAACACTATTCTGTATCATCTGTTTATACATCTGTATGACAGTTGATGAGAATCTAAACTCTTGTGGGACTTTAGGAATAACCAATTTATTTCATGTGTTGGGTTGTTGTAGGTTTTTCCGGGCTATATGGCCATGTTCTGGAGGCAATTTGCCATATAGCCCGGAAAAACCTACAACAACCCAGTGATTCCGGCCATGAAAGCCTTCGACAATACATATTTCATATGTTGCTCGCACAGCAACCACATTTTGCTATATTTTGTATTCTTGCACTTCTGTAGAGTTCTCACTCTTGCTCTCTCTATTCCCTCCAGAGTGAAACCGTAAGTTTTGCGGCAGAAAAGAAAAAGAAGGAGAAGATATCAGCAGAAGTTTCTACTGTCGTGGTAAGTGTTTTGGTTTAAAGGATATGCACAGATCTCTAGCAAAAAAACCAAAACAAAACCAACTTAACTACGTTCCTTTCCTCTTTTTCTATATAGGCCAAAGTCTTGCGGGAGACGAAGCCAATCCCAAACTTGATTTTCGCAATAGAACAATACGAGAATTTTCTGATCCATCTCTCCAAAAAGTCCAAGGTAACATTCCATATTAATGTTTTTGAAGCCACGGCATCCCTGTTGGCTACTCCCAACTAGAGTAGACTAAGGCAATCAATTGATCTCCTCATTGTTTTGATTGTTTATTGATGTTTTATTTTACTGATGTTTCGTTTATTGGTGTGTTGCGGGCTTGGCCTCATGTAAGCCGCACCGAGTCCCTTGGGGAGATGGTAGCAGGGTAAAAATACAGTGTTGTTGTTGTTGTTGTTGTTGTTATTATTATATACCAACCTGCCCAATGCCTAGGAGCATCTGGAGAGGCCCTACTCTCGCTGCCACCACCATTCGTGTTGATATATCGTATTTTATATTTTGTATGGCACCATTGTGTGCTTTGTAAGCCATCCCAAGTCCCTGTGGAGATGGTAAGGTAAAGGTAAAGGTTTCCCCTTGACATTAAGTTGGTGCTCATCTCCATTTCTAAGCCGAAGAGCCGGCATTGTCCGTAGACACCTCCAAGGTCATGTAACACTTTTCATGGGCACCCTGGTGGTGCGGAAGGTTAAAGCACTGAACTGCTGAACTTGCTGACTGAAAGATTGGCGGTTTGAATCCGGGGAGCGGGGTGAGCTCCCGCTGTTAGCCCCAGCTTCTGCCAATCTAGCAGTTTGAAAAGATGCAAGTATGAGTAGATCAATATTTATTTATTATTTACGACGTTTATATGCCGCCCTTCTCACCCTGAAGGAGACTCAGAGCGGCTTACAAAATATATTCATACAATATATTATATTATTAGCATAGTACAATATCAGTATTAAATATTACTATATTGTACTATACCATTACATTGTAATATTATTAGTAATATTGCATGCCATACAAAAATATAATTATAATATATTATTATTAGTATTATATTGCATTACATTATTTTTTTTAATATACTTTTTACTGTGCAAATTTTCTTTTACAAACTTAAAATAAAAGGTAGATAATAGAAAGAAGAGGAAAGGACAAAAAAAGGGGGGGAAGAAATCAAAGACAAAGCAGAGAACGTACTATACATAAATGTAAATCACCCTTAACCCCGTCCCCTGTGTATAGACTTCCCTGTGATAAACTATCCATCTGAATAATGTCTAGTGCTTTAATTATCCAGTCTTCCTGAGTTGGGGTTTCTTTTTGTTTCCATATTTTGGCCAGTGTTATCCTGGCAGCTGTACTTAACAGGAAGAACATTTTATCATGGCCCGCATTGAATTTCGAATATGAAATGCCCAGGAGATACATTGCATTACATAAATATTATATTATACTATATTATATTATATTATTAGCATAGCCTCCTCCTGAGAAAAATGTATAATATCACAAAGGACTACCACCTCACCTGCCTCATAGGAAACCTGCTACAAAACAGGAGCTTTTTTGTTGAGTTCTAGGGCCAGAGATGCAGATGGCGGAAACAGAAGAACGGCCTGCCCCAGGGGAGCGTGCCTGCTCCATCCATGTTCAACATCTACACAAATGACCAGCCACTGCCAGAAGGGACAGAGAGTTTCATCTATGCTGATGATCGTGCCATTACGCTCAAGCAGGGAGCTTTGAGATGGTTGAACAGAAGCTCTCCGAAGCTCTAGGTGCTCTACTGCCTATTACAGAGAAAACCAACTGATCCCCAACCCATCTAAAACACAGACATGTGCCTTTCATCTCAAGAACAGACAAGCATCCCGAGCTCTGAGGGTTACCCGGGAAGGAATCCCACTGGAGCATTGCAGCACACCCAAATACCTGGGAGTCACTCTGGACCGTGCTCTGACCTACAAGAAGCACTGCCTGAACATCAAGCAAAAAGTGGGCGCTAGAAACAATATCATATGAAAGCTGACTGGCACAACCTGAGGATCACAACCAGACACAGTGAAGACATCTGCCCTGTGCTATGCTACTCTGCTGCTGAATAGCATGCCCAGTGTAGAACAGATCTCACCACGCTAATACAGTGGATTTGGTTCTTAATGGGACATGCCGCATCATCACGGGGTGTCTGCGCCCTACACCACTGGAGAAATTACACTGCTTAGCCGGTATTGCACCACCTGACATCCGCCGGGAAGTAGCAGCCAATAGTGAAAGGACCAAGGCAGAGACATCTCCAGCTCATCCCTTGTTTGGGTATCATCCACCACATCAATGACTTAAATCAAGACATAGTTTTCTAAGATCTACAGAGACACTCCCTGGAACATCTCAACAAGCGAGAGTCCAAAAGTGGCAGGCCCAAACCCAGCACCTCAATTCATGGGTGATACCAGATGAGAGACTCCCCCCTGGGCACACAGAAGACGGGGCGACTTGGAAGGCGATGAACAGACTGCGCTCTGGCACCTCTGTTTGTTTTGTTCTGTTAGAAATGTAATACAATGGTATGGTTGCTGATGACACAATAAAAAAAAGCATAACACAGAAGACAAGGTGGAACCCACCCCTGGCCCCCTCTCTCTTCACTCTGGCCCAGATTGGCAGTTGGTACTGGGGGAGGGGTCCTCAACTGATGACATATGCTCAAGACAAGGTGGAACTGTCCCCTGCCCCCCCCCTCTTCAATAGGTACCCCTCCGACAGGAAGGAAATGGCGCTCCATGCAGTCATGTTGGCTACATGACCTAGGTTTACCTTTAACACTTTTCAAACCAGGAACAGAATATTTTGCAAATTTTGTTACGTAGTGGTGTAAACATTGGCCGTCTTTTTGGTTTCTGCAGGTAAATTTGATGCAGTATATGAAACTGAGTACCTCTCGGGACTTCCGCATCAACGTCTCGACGGTGGAGAGTGCGCTACAGGAACAGGATGCAGATGATGCTGAGAATGAACCCGACAATGACCAGGTGAGCAGATATGGCAACAGGGAGAAATATCCTTCTTCTAGCAATTATTATTATTGTCACTGTTATGAGTAGACTAGTGATGCCAGAAAATTCCTAATATATCATTAAGTATTGTTATTGTTATTATTATTATTGTCACTGTTATGAGTAGACTAGTGATGCCAGAAAATTCCTAATATATCATTAAGTATTGTTATTATTATTATTATTATTGTCACTGTTATGAGTAGACTAGTGATGCCAGAAAATTCCTAATATATCATTAAGTATTGTGATTATTATTATTATTATTATTATTGTCACTGTTATGAGTAGACTAGTGATGCCAGAAAATTCCTAATATATCATTAAGTATTGTTATTATTATTATTATTATTATTATTATTATTATTATTATTATTATTGTCACTGTTATGAGTAGACTAGTGATGCCAGAAAATTCCTAATATATCATTAAGTATTGTGATTATTATTATTATTAGTATTATTAGTATTATTATTGTCACTGTTATGAGTAGACTAGTGATGCCAGAAAATTCCTAATATATCATTAAGTATTGTTATTATTATTATTATTATTATTATTATTATTATTATTATTGTCACTGTTATGAGTAGACTAGTGATGCCAGAAAATTCCTAATATATCATTAAGTATTGTGATTATTATTGTTATTATTATTATTATTATTATTGTCACTGTTATGAGTAGACTAGTGATGCCAGAAAATTCCTAATATATCATTAAGTATTGTTATTATTATTATTATTATTATTATTATTATTATTATTGTCACTGTTATGAGTAGACTAGTGATGCCAGAAAATTCCTAATATATCATTAAGTATTGTATTATTATTATTATTATTATTATTATTATTATTGTCACTGTTATGAGTAGACTAGTGATGCCAGAAAATTCCTAATATATCATTAAGTATTGTTATTATTATTATTATTATTATTATTATTATTATTATTGTCACTGTTATGAGTAGACTAGTGATGCCAGAAAATTCCTAATATATCATTAAGTATTGTTATTATTATTATTATTATTATTATTATTATTATTATTGTCACTGTTATGAGTAGACTAGTGATGCCAGAAAATTCCTAATATATCATTAAGTATTGTGATTATTATTATTATTAGTATTATTAGTATTATTATTGTCACTGTTATGAGTAGACTAGTGATGCCAGAAAATTCCTAATATATCATTAAGTATTGTGATTATTATTATTATTATTATTATTATTATTATTATTATTATTATTGTCACTGTTATGAGTAGACTAGTGATGCCAGAAAATTCCTAATATATCATTAAGTATTGTTATTGTTATTATTATTATTATTATTATTATTATTATTATTATTATTGTCACTGTTATGAGTAGACTAGTGATGCCAGAAAATTCCTAATATATCATTAAGTATTGTTATTGTTATTATTATTATTATTATTATTATTGTCACTGTTATGAGTAGACTAGTGATGCCAGAAAATTCCTAATATATCATTAAGTATTGTGATTATTATTATTATTATTATTATTATTACCATCCTCTCTGTCTCTCCCTGAAAATAAGATCTCACCCCAAGGGAGCAACCAGTAATGGGAAATTGCCGATCTGGCAAAGCAAGTAAGTGTTTCCTCAAAACAAAGTTTGTGTAAAGTGCGTTGTTTTCTTTCTTTTAGCATCCCGCTTCGGCGCAGTCGGACACCAGCCAGGAACCCAAGAGGAAGAAGCGACGGAAAAAATAAGAGCTTTTATTTGGATCAAGTTATGGTTTTGTCCTGACAAAAAACAAAAGTTGTTTCCCCTTTGGGAATGTTATCACTGGTGAATTATAAAAGTTGCCAGCTTAGTGCCTTAAGTTCCATGGGATTCCCTGAATGCTAACACGACTATTAGTCTGCTTACAACTGTTCTATAATGCACTTGCGGAGCATAATTGAAGCGCAGCCCTTCCTTTTTTGGGAAAAGCTGAGAATTTGCCTTTAAAGTTGAACTCATTTGTTGGTTTTCCACCTTCCTCTTGATATTCTGACAGTGAAAAGAATCCAACGGAGAATGGAGCTGGTCGTTGCGTAAAAGTCTGATAGCGGAAGGATTTCCTGAGCCAATATGTAACATTTTAGCTTTGAAACATCTGAAACCCTATTTTTCTTTCTCCAAGGAGCTTTTGGTGATTTTGAGGAGTTGGTATATATCCAAAGCATCACCTGGGGAAGAGAAAGAGAGGAAGATGTCATATTCCTTTCACATAAAACCTTTTTTGGGGGAGTTTCCCCAAATTCACACATTTGTGTTGCACTTCTTACTAAGTGAATGTCAATAAACAAACAAGGCTGCATTGTAAATGACTTGTATACACATTATTTTTCCCATCGTGGTCAACTGTGAATCGCACATATGGTAGTTTCTGCGCCTGACCAGACAGCTTCGGAACCTTCTAGATCAGTGTTTCTCAACCTGGGGGTCGGGACCCCTTTGGAGGTCGCGAAGGGGTGTCAGAGGGGTTGCCAAAGACCATCAGAAAACACAGTATTTTCTGTTGGTCATGGGGGCTGTGTGTGGAAGGTTTGGCCCAATTCTATCGTTGGTGGGGTTCAGAATGCTCTTTGATTGTAGGTGAACTATAAATCCCAGCAGCTACAACTCCCAAATGTCAAGGTCTATTTTTCCCAAACTCCACCAATGCTCACATTTGGGCATATTGAGTATCTGTGCCAGGTTTGGTCCAAATCCATCATTGAGTCCACAGCATTCTCTGGATATAGGTGAACTACAACTCCAAAACTCAAGGTCAGTGCCCACCAAATCCTTCCAGTATTTTATGTTGGTCATGGGAGTCCTGTGTGCCAGGTTTGGTTCAATTCTATCAGTGGAATTAATTTATTTTATTATTTATTTGCAGCTTTTCTATTCCGCCCTTCTCACCCCGCAGGGGACTCAGGGCAGATTACAGTGTACACATATATGGCAAACATTCAATGCCAATTTTGACATACAAACATATACAGACATACACAGAGGCTATTTAACTTTTTCTGGCCGCCAGGGGAGCTGTCACTTTCATCGTCCATCTGCGACACTGATGAAGCGCTTCCGCATTCCCCGCATGCTTCCCCGCTGGAATGCTTTGCTGGAGTCTTCTTTATGGCCTCATAAATCAGTTAATTTAGCCTCCCCACACTTTAAGGTGGTACCTAATTTTCCTACTTGACAGATGCAACTGTCTTTCGAGTTGCAAAGGTCGACAACAGGCTACACACAATTGGTTGGAAACCCACTCCAATCCGGGCTGGCTTCGAACTCATGACGTTTTGGTCAGAGTGATCTTGATGCAGCTACACTCAGCCAGCTGCGCCACAATCCCGGTGCTATAAATCCCAGCAACTACAACTCCCAAATGTCAAGGTCTGTTTTCCCCAAACTCCACCAGTGTTCACATTTGGGCATATTGAGTATTAGGCCTGGGTAACAATGCAAAAATTTGTTTCTAAAATCGATTCGTTTTTTGGGGTTTTTTGCGTTTCGTTATTTAAAATAATTACAAAATTTTCCTTTTTAAAAGTTCGGTATTTACGAAATTTCGTTATTATTAACGAATCGCTTCGTTAAGATGGCATGCGCAAAACACTTCCGAAACTTCGTTATTGATGCGGGGTCGATTCGTTAAGGTGATAACGAATCGATTCGTTAAAATGGCGGACGCGATTTGCGCATGCGCAAAAACGACTTCCGAACTTCGTTATTAAATACGAATCGATTCTTTTCTTTTTTTAGAATATTTTTTTGAAGAATAAAAGAGGAATATTTATCAGAAATATTTAAAAATGGAAAATTAACAAAAAACTTGCCCTCTTGTGGAGCGAACACAGCCACAGGACAGGGACAAACGCACACACAGGCACACAAAATTCTTTTCTTTTTTTAGATTTTTTTTTTAATTTTTTGAAGAATTAAAGAGAAATATTTATCACAAATATTTAAAAATGGAAAATTAACAAAAAGCTTTCCCTGCCCTGTTGTAGGGCGAAAACAGGGCAAAGCCTCCCCACTGCTCCCAGCCCAGGTCTCACAACCGCCCTCGCTCTCCCAACAACAATGAATGAATCAATGTGAATGAATGAATGCAAGCAATGAATGAATCCAAGCCAAGCCTCCCTCCCGAACCTCCCGTCTCCTCCCTCGCCTTCACAATGAGCAATGCAGCCACGCGGAGCCGCTTTTAAAGGGCAGCCTGCCCAATCACAATCAGCCACGGTGCTTGGGAGCACCGGATTGGCTCCCAGGGCACCCAGCATCCTCCATCCCTTAAACGTCATTTCCGAAACGGGCGGAAGCTCGTAAAAAGGATGGAGGATGCCGTTTCGATATTGAAAAACCCTTCCGGGTTTGAAAATATGTTTTGAAATCATTTTGTAATTGTTAAAAATAACGAATATTTAACGAATTACAAAATTAACGAACGAAACCGCCCAGGCCTAATATTTATACATGGCTATCATGTCTCCTCTCATCCTTCTTTCTTCAGCTAAACATGCCCAGCTCCTTAAGCCGCTCCTCATAGGGCTTGTTCTCCAGACCCTTGATCATTTTAGTTGCTCTCCTCTGGACACATTCCAGCTTGTCAATATCTCTCTTCAATTGTGGTGCCCAGAATTGGACACAATATTCCAAGAGTGGAATATTATGTCAGTAAGTATGATTATTGTTATTGTTATTATTGTTATTTTTTACATTTATGCCCCACTTTTTCTGCTGCCAAAGGAGACTCAAAGCAGCTAACAATAAACGTGTAATACATGCAAACATTAAAATAGGATTAAACATTGGCATAATTAAAATAATTTCAAAACTTAATGCCTTCCCTCGTTCAGCCCAGCAAAAGTTCTCTGTACTCACCCTGCGGGATGCTGTACCGTCTCTCCATCCCTGTTGGGTTCGATGGAGTGACGCAATCCATCGTCACCTCTTTCCGTAAACACCGGTCAATATCCACAGCGCTGAAAAAGGCAACTGACTGAGGCAGGTCTTGGAGGCCTAGCTTATAGGCAAACATGCACCTAGAAAAAAGGGACATACATTGCAGATCTGTTTAAGTTAAGCCTTGGAGTCAAAAGTGTCCTTTGAATGTTCTTTGTTCAGTAGGAGAGAGTTCAAACCTTCCTATTTGCTGACGCTTGCACACACGATGGCATTCTGGACATCTTTCACCCTGTAGCTCAGGCATGGGCCAACTTGGGCCCTCTGGGTGTTTTGGACTTCAACAGCCTCAGGCCCTTTCCTTTTCACACTGAGGCATTTCTCCCACTGAGGCCTCTCTCACACTGAGGCCTACCTCACAATGAGGGCTCTCTCAGACTGATGCCTCACTCACTGAGGCGTTTCTCTCAGGCTTTCATACTATTACCCAGGTGTTTTGGACTGCAATGCCCACCATTCCTAACAGCCTCAGGCCCTTTCCTTTTCACACTGAGGCATTTCTCCCACTGAGGCCTCTCTCACACTGAGGCCTACCTCACAATGAGGGCTCTCTCAGACTGTGCCTCACTCACTGAGGCATTTCTCTCAGTTTCATACTATTACCCAGGTGTTTTGGACTGCAATGCCCACCATTCCTAACAGCCTCAGGCCCTTTCCTTTTCACACTGAGGCATTTCTCCCACTGAGGCCTCTCTCACACTGAGGCCTACCTCACAATGAGGGCTCTCTCAGACTGATGCCTCACTCACTGAGGCATTTCTCTCAGTTTCATACTATTACCCAGGTGTTTTGGACTGCAATGCCCACCATTCCTAACAGCCTCAGGCCCTTTCCTTTTCACACTGAGGCATTTCTCCCACTGAGGCCTACCTCACAATGAGGGCTCTCTCAGACTGATGCCTCACTCACTGAGGCGTTTCTCTCAGTCTGAGGGCTACTAAGCTACATGCACACCTGCTTGTATTGCTTAAGAGGCTGGGGGGGAAAGGAGAGGGCCTGAGGCTGTAAGGACTGGTGGGAGTTGAAGTCCAAAACACCAAGAAGGCCCAAGTTGGCCAATGCCTGGTGAAGAAGACCCATATAATACATTCTCTCCTGGTACCCTCAGAGGTTGTGAGGTCTATTGGAATCTAGGCAAGTGGGGTTTATATATCTGTGGAATGTCCAGGGAGGGAGAAAGAACTCTTGTCTGCTTGGGGAAAGTCTGAATGCTGCAACTGGCCACCCTGATTAGCATTGAATGACCTTGCAGCTTCAAAGCCTGGCTGCTTCCTGCCTGGGGGAATCCTTTGTTGGGAGATGTTAGTTGGCCCATGCCTGGCTTATAACATTAGTCTTTGAAATGTCATAAGTATTGAATGGCCTTGCAGCTTCAAAGCCTGGCTGCTTCCTGCCTGGGGGAATCCTTTGTTGGGAGGTGTTAGATGGCCCATGCCTGACTTCTAACATTACTCTTTGAAATATCATAAGTAGTTAGTCTTAGCATTAAATAGCCTTGCAGCTTCGAAGCCTGGCTGCTTCCTGCCTGGGGGGAATCCTTTGTTGGGAGGTGTTAGCTGGCCCATGCCTGGCCTATAACATTACTCTTTGAAATGTCATAAGTAGTCACTTTGAGTCTCTTTTGGGGAAAGTGGAGTAAAACTAAGCCGAATAACAACAAGAAGAAGAACTGGAAGAGCGTTTACCGTGTCAGGAGGTTGGTGATCTGCAGGGCCAGAGCTGCCCGATAGCGGTCCTCGCTCTGCACTAAGTAGCGCACTTCGTCATGGATGCTGATGCAAAAGCGCCCATCAATGCGGTACTCCTCAAAGAGCCATTTCATGGCCACAAGCATCAGGTGCAGGTAGTCCACGGCTGAGCTCTGAACCACCCAGTTCACTCTGCTGGTGACAAACTGAAATAAAAACACTAAGGTAAACACATCCTCTTCTGACTATTTTGATTCAAAGCTAGCTATGTCATCTATCGATTACCATGCAGCAAACCCATAAAAAAACTATGCTATGCACAATATATGACTTCCTATGTTGCTGCTTTGATTTGTTTGTGGAATAAATTAAGTGCTATAGTAAACTCTCCCTTGTGTTGTCGAAGGCTTTCATGGCCAGAATCACTGGGTTGCTGTGAGTTTTCTGGGCTGTATGGATGTTCCAGAAGCATTCTCTCCTGACGTTTCGCCCACATCTATGGCAGGCATCCTCAGAGGTTGTGAGGTCTGTTGGAAACTAGGCAAGTGAGGTTTATATATCTGTGGAATGATGTCCAGGGTGGGAGAAAGAACTCTAGTCTGCTTGAGGCAAGTGTGAATGTTGCACTTGACCACCTTGATTAGCATTGAATGACAACTCTTAGTAAGGGCACTTAAAATGCAAAGTGATCCATCACTACCACCCCGAATCTCTCTCTCACCTCACCCTTGACAGCCACTGGCTCCAATGCTCTGCTGATGCGGCAGCCCAGAACAGGTGTGCAAGGCGAGTCTGACATGGCAATGCTTTCCAGTTTGTTGAACATTTCCGATTCTGTCCCATTGCTCCACACACGCTGGCGTACCACATCCCACTTCTTCTTTTTAGACCTGCAAGAGGAAGAACTTAGGAGCAGAACTGGATGTTCAGCAAGATATAGAGTAAACTAATATATGTAATAATAATAGAGTAAAGTCATGTAAATAATAATTACAAAGTAAAATAATAAATGACTTGAGTATAAGAGCAGAGCTGGATGTTCAGCAAGATATAGAGTAAAATACTTACTTACTTAGGCGATCCCTCGTTGGACGAGTAAGATGGTCTTCCATTATGGATTTCCCTGTGGGTCCGTATATGGCTGTGGAGCCCTATTCTTGCTCTGCATCTTCTTCCGCAGTGAGGGCATTGGTTTCCAGGTGGAAGGCGGTCCCGGTCGGGGTTGGCTTGACGCGCCTTCCTCTTGGCACGCTTCTCTCTTTCGCCCTCCATTCATGCCTCTTCAAATTCTGCAGCACTGCTGGTCACAGCTGACCTCCAGCTGGAGCGCAAGGGCCAGGGCTTCCCAGTTCTCAGTGTCTATGCCACAGTTTTTAAGGTTGGCTTTGAGCCCATCTTTAAATCTCTTTTCCTGTCCACCAACGTTTCGTTTTCCATTCTTAAGTTCGGAGTAGAGCAACTGCTTTGGGAGACGGTGGTCAGGCATCCGGACAACGTGGCCGGCCCAGCGGAGTTGATGTTGGAGGACCATCGCTTCAATGCTGGTGGTCTTTGCTTCTTCCAGCACGCTGACGTTTGTCCGCTTGTCTTCCCAAGAGATTTGCAGGATTTTCCGGAGGCAGCGCTGATGGAATCGTTCCAGGAGTTGCATGTGACGTCTGTAGACAGTCCACGTCTCGCAGGCATATAGCAGGGTTGGGAAGACAATAGCTTTATAAACAAGCACCTTGGTCTCCCTACGGATGTCCCGGTCCTCAAACACTCTCTGCTTAATTCTCAGTTGTTCTACCTCAAGGTCCGAGGCAGTTGAGTAGTTCGGCAGCTGTATCCGCGACTGAGCAGCCCTTTTGAGGCCCCACTCTGCTCACCCCACATGGGGAGGGGGCTAGAAAAGGTGCCCTAAACATAGTCTGCCTCACTTATCCCTGACTGGACTGCCGCGTCCAGTGGGGTCACCACCCTGCGGCCAAAAAAGAAAAATGAACTTCAGTACGTGGAACGTACAGACTCTGATGGACAACAGTAATAATAGAGTAAAATAATGTTACGGTGCTCCAAGCAGTCATGCCAGCCACATGACCTTGGAGGTGTCTATGGACAACACTGGCTTTTTGGCTGAGAAATGGAGATGAGCACCACACCCCAGAGTTTTAAATTCTGTGCTTTAGAGAGAATAATCACAAAGCCTCGTGGAGATCAAAATAGCACTTTACTACAGAGAGAAGCATTTTGGATCTCTAAACTGCAGACAGTACACCCACAAGCGTTAAATGACACATTAGAGCTCACTTGCTTTCTGTAATCACCGGTAATGAACTGATATCCTTAAAAGGGAGTAACCTCTTGTATCTTATTGCTCGCAATTAAAAGCAGAAGCAGGCTACACTATATTGAAGTTTCTTTGCAGAGCCATTGATGCTATTAATGTAATTAAATTCCTTGTTTTGTTTATATGAGAATTTTCAAAATATAACTGGGTGCTACTTAGCATACCTATTACTTTGTCCTTTCTAAATGTAGTAAAAACTACGGAAGTACCATTACCTTTGATTTAATGAAAGACGCCTGAAGAAGAGAAATTTGTTCTTGAAACAAGGACACAAAAGCACCTGGGGAACCTTGATGTGGACTAACGAGTTGGCTGAAAGCAACACAAACTGTTTCCAGTTTTGATCCTCTCAAGTTTGTGGAATACAACGTGAACTTTTGTTGTAACATCGTGGACATATTCTCAAATGGACTGAACACAATGTGAACTGCCTTTAAGTTTGATATATTCATTGATGTATATGTCCTATGAAATTATGTTGTAAACCGTATATATTTTGTGTGTTTCACTATATTTTGTGTGTTACTTAAACTTGTACCTATGTTGAAGCTTATTTAAATAGGACAATTGCTTATTTACAACTGATTTATAGATACCTGTGTTATTAGAGGGGAAAACCTTTACCTTACCTTTACCTAATATAAATGTAATAATAATAATAATAATAAT